TTAACTATTAGTTTCTCAAGAAAAAAAATTCAACATGATTTAATGTTTTATATCAGTTATACAGTTTTTAAAACCAGCATAGTAATTTTATGCTCAATAGTTTTAATTTTCTTCCTAAAAATATTGCCTTACCCAGCATATTATTGAGATTTTGTGTTTAATAATTCAAACTACATGTGAATAACAATGCAAGAAGTGGAGTGACATATATTTATAATATATATTGCAAATGAAGAAAACATTTAGCAAAACTGTTGTGTGAACTTAATCACTGTGCAGCAGATCAAACTCACTAAAAGACTAAAGTCACAAAGGTTTAAAATAATACAAGAAAAGTACAAAGTTACTAAGAAAAGATATATCTTTAAAAAAGCTTAAATAGTTTTTACCTGATGGAGATGAATCAGGATTTTTTGGGGTTTGACAGCATTGCCATACTGAATCTCCACTCCTGGAACTTTGCCTGCTTTCTTTGGGCGGATTGTGCGCATAGCCTGGACTTGTGCCAGGGCAATCTGAAACACTAGGACCTGCAGCAGATCAAGACAAAGATAATCAGAGAGAACAGCAGAATTGAATACTGACTGGGAGTCAGAGGTTAATCTAAAAAAACCTGAAATAGTAACATTGGTATTAGTGTGAGAAACAAGAGCACCAAGATGTGACATGAACTGTAATAGTACATTTCTACAACTTTGAATATTGTGTAAAAGTGCAAGATTTCTTGTCAGTCGTCTGAGAAAGTGAAACTCATTATATAAATATAAAACGAGTCTATATAATAGACTGCCCATACAGTTATTATTAACTGTATGGGCAGTTAATAATACATTACAAGTTACAGTTAATAAGCAGGGTTTCCTTAGATATAAACATTTTAATTTACTTTGAATAAGTAATTGAGCATCCTGTCCTGTTTGAGAACTAGGATGAATTAGATTGTGTTGGATTGTGTGATTGAATTGAAGTAATATTTTTGTAAAGTGAATTAATTCTGTATATATGACTTAATCTGAATTCCCTCTGCTTACTTCCGAGCAGGACTTGTCACCTGCCCACTCTGCCAAAAGCACACACTGATCTAAAGGCGCTTTTCCACTAGTCCGACCGGTACAGTCTCATTCCGCCTTGAACAGATCCGGTGTGGCTCAGCCTGGCTGTTCTTAGATTTTAGTATCTACTTCAGGGGTAAAACTAGAAGGACCGATCAGGTTACAACTCCAAAAACATTTGATTGACAGCTGACAAATCCAAAACAACATTTTAGTTTAGATGTGGACCACAGACATGCCATCCTTCAGACTGAGAGCTGCTCAGTCTGAAGAATCTGTTATGAGTTTAATCACAATCAGCATCAGAAACACATGCGGTAAGTTTTGCAGCGGAATGATCAAGATTTAGCAGCTCTGCTTGCATCTCTTGCTCTTAAGACTGGCAGTAATAATAAAGAGAGAAACTGAGCAGCTGGCCAGCTTTCTGATGGGCTGCACTTTCCTGCTGACAATGAGAAACACTAGACCTATATAATACTAGCAGGTGATGTGAATTTGGAATTAAAAAATAGTTCAGGAGTAGCTATTGGTTTACGTCTTTTTTTTACTTGTAAGCCTTAATTATTAAGATTACAAAACAGAAAAACTTGAAATATTTTACACTGTGTGTAATGAATCTCTAGAAAATTACCGTTTCATTTTCTGAGATGTCTGGCAAGAAATACTGGAGAATATTCTATTAAGGAGAGCAGAAAAATGTGCATAGAAAAAAAAACTAAAACATATAACAATTAGCACTAATTGCGGTGAGAGTTTAGGTCATACATTTTAAAAAAAGAACAAATACCTGAGTTTTAGGATGAAGGAAACGAACTCCTTCCTGGTTCACACTGATTAAGCAGGGGGAAGGACAGCCATTTTGGCTAACCTTTTTTGCCAAGAAGGTATTAGAGCCAAACAAAGGGAGGTTCCTCAGAGACTCTGACATAGAAGATTCATGTAATCGGCATTATTGTAGTTCATATAATTCATGATGTTAATTCGTAAAATTAACATCATGATCACACTTACAGAGAAAAGAAAGAAAAAGAAAAGTTTCAACCCACCAATAAACTGAATTTTGGCATCTCCAGGACTGAGGGACTGCATGGTAGCTAGCTGATTATGGCAGAGCAACTGGATTTCTTCAGCTTTACTGGCAAGTCCATCTTGTAAGGGCAAGTACTCCTTTAGCTCTGGCCTTAGAAAGAAAGAAATCAACAAATGCATATATTACACACACACACATGCACACATACATACTACGGTCAAAATTCTTAGCCTCCTCAAAAGCTACCTTTTTTATTTAGTCAAAGCACAGACCCCTGTTGTGAAATTATGTGCTTTTATTTTGTGAATCTGCAGCTCGTAGTCAACCAATCAAGGTAAAATCAAGGGCTCTTACTGCTGAGTTGACACTTTTAATGCACTTTCAACGTAACTTTGCATTAAAAATGTCATTATTTACCAAATAATATTTTATGAGAAAAGTAATAAACATTTATGAAGACTCCTTCATGTTCACCACAGGTATCATAATACCTGTACAAGAATTCACAGATTTTCTCTTCAAAGTATCTCACAACTATAGTACCATATGCCAGAGTGAATACCAACTTTTCTCAAATTTTCCTTAAATTGCAGTCAGCAGGCAGGTTCTGTTGTTGTTATAAGCTCAAGTTAGTGTAATCAAGTTGTATTTCTATTTTGTTATAATTACACAAAATATCTCGTTATTCAGCCTAGTGATTAAATAAAACCAGCACAGCATTACCATATGATTTGTGGCTTGTAAAAGTGTCACAGCGTTCACAATTTGTATTATGTTTTCACCTAAAATAGCTGTAAACTGAATAGCCTTATGAGTTCACCACATGAAAGGTAGTTTGGCTGTAGTTTCTTTACGAGTAGGCCAAGGAAACCCATATCAAGTTGAAAAATAAATTCACTGTTTGTGATCAGTTTTTTAATTTTTTTTTCCCCCATCAAATTAGAAGCACATTTTGGTTTTGTGGAAAGCTTTACTCAATACACTAAACTAAGTAGCAAGATCCAGTTATTAATAGTCCCCAAAGACAATTGTTCCCCAAAATTCACACTCATATTTATTACCAGCACTAATTTCTTTTACTTACAGTGACAGCTGGCTCTTCAAACCCTGAGCTAAATGTTGCAGGGTTGCCAATTCGGCAATCTGTTGAAGTGATGAGGTTCCACCAGCATAATGAGGAATGATTATCTTGCCATGAAGATATTCCTCTAAAAGCTAAAAACACATTTTCCAATTTGAGAATTAATCATTCAAAAACATCTTTCATTTTCAAAAACATTGTCCTCTTACCTGCTGATAGTGAAAGTCCACAAAGAGTTCATTCCTGAAGGAAAGGGGTTTTTCCCAGAGGACTCTCCTGAATGACAAGGAGATGGAGCCATCATCCAGTAAGAAATCAAACAAGTAATCCTCAGGATGTAGAGGGCGCACCATCCCATCTGAAGCAAAGGACCAAAGAAGTTTCATGGAGGGACAGAAGAACAAAGAGAGAAAACATTGACAAAAGGAAAAAAGGAAGTGACTTGGAGGACAGTTGGGATCCTCTGGCATTCTTTGACCACCTCCTTCCAATGTAGCAACAGAAAGTTAAATGGCTCTTAGAGGAAAAACATGCTTTTGCTAGTGACGAGAATGATATCAGGACCATTCTGTCTCTTCAACTGAAAATCAGGCTAAATGATCTAACTCATGTCAAAAAGACATACATCTCAGTCCCTACGCCACTCCACACACACACAAAAAAAACAGAGGAATATTTGGCGGAATTATTAAATAGGTGATTGATCACAAAGTATGCAGTCCCCTTAGGGGCTGAAGTATGACAACTTCATTCTCCAGTCTGTGTGCAAAAAGATGGATCTGAAGCAATTGTCGAGAGATATGCATTTACCTTTCAAAGTAAAATGCTGAACAATTTGAAAAAACAAAGTGAAGGGGGAAACTCCAGCATGATATCAAGTATCACCATGGGAAAGCTGATAGGAATACTGACGGCCTCTTGGGTATACATATTATGTGTAGAAAATAACTGACTATACACAGAATGTACTTCATGAGGTGATGCACAGCTTAACATAGTCAGTCACTGTAAAATCCCAGTAGAATGAGCGATGGTTTTCCTCACTAATGATTAATAGTCTCACTAAGAAGGCAGGTAAGGAACTCAAATCTCAAAGAGGCCCAAGAAGAGGATGCTGTGATTAGGGAGGTGCTCCACTATGTGAAATCTAAAAAATGGCATAAGGGTGGAAAACAGCACAACAGTAATTTCTGAAATGAGTGACAAAAAATATTGAAATTTTAACAATGTTAAAATGTTCTGATCTGTACTTGCGGAGGGCAACACAGCAAGAAATGTTTACATCTACACCTTACCCATCGTAGTGGCATGGGTATCAAACACTGTCCTCATATTCATTTGAGTAACTGAATGAAAGGTAATGAGAATCATTTTGAGATCATTTACAGAACATTACATTTTTAGAAGGACAAACATGGAAAACAGACCAAGAAACAATACTACTGCATGAGAAAAACACTACATTATACTAAGAAATTTAACAGCTGGCAAATAGTTCAGTAACAGTTTACTAGGGTTACAGATGAACACAGATGAACCTTGTCAAACCAGTTGAATACTCAGTGTCTTTAGCCCATAGTTTACCACGAGTAAAGGTTGTCACTGTGCTTATACCTACTGTTTGTACAGTCAAGTACAGTCAACAGTTACCTTGAAATCTGGTGGCGATGAGGGAAAACTCCTTGACCTCTGTAAACTCTACGATTTCCATATTTTCACACAACTCTGTCACAACATCTGCTGTCACCTATATAAAGATAAAAAATGGCTTTTATATATATATATATATATATATATATATATATATATATATATATATATATATATATATATATATATCCCAGGAACAACATCAGACATCTCAGTCCAGAAATGTGCAGCAGTCCTTGGCACAGCCAAGATACTGCGCAGAACCCTCAAGCTCCCAGGCCTCTGGTAGAGGACCCGAGCTCAGAGGATAAGAACCACCCGCGGTGGGTGAGAAGGGAATTTTTATATATATATAATTTTTGGGCTTTAAAGACCAATCATACAGTGAAGCTGCGAATCTTGACAGGAAACTCTACTCCTCCTGGCAACTGGATAGGAATGCGTTGAGAAGTTTTGCCAGTCTACGAGACAAGATAAAGAAAATCTTAATAGTAGCTTCAAATGGTAGAACTGAGAAATCAAACAGAAAGAAGCATCTTCTGTAGACAGAAAATCTACTTGTCTAAATGTGTAACTTACTAGAAGAGCCTCCATCTCAACATGTGAGGGAACGTTTCGTCGACCACCAAAATTGATTGAACGCTGGAGGTTATCCAGACACACAAATACCAGCTCTGATGTAAGTACAAGTAAAACAACATGAAACACCACACAAAAAATTCAAGATACACTTAAGAAGTTAACTTTTGTCTTCTCTACCTTGGTATGGGTGTTCGTTGTCCTGACAGATTTCTTGCAGGTGCTGCATGACAAAGGGATGGAGAATCGCAGAGCAAGGGAAGAAGCCAGTAATGAGGCTAAGCAGCCGCCAGCCAAAGGTACAACTTGATCTGTAGAGGTGGCAACAGGAATGCGTGTGTGCAAAGAGTGTGATAACATATAATAGCATATTTCTTTAACAATTAGAGCAGTGTGTTTCAATAATGTGCATGAATTTTCCTTTCACCCTTTGTCAGATTTCTTGCTTATTGTAAAAAAGAATAACTTTTTACATTATGCATTTATTTTCCTAACTTTGCTGTTGGTAGATGCAGCAGTATACCTTGTAAGCTCTGAGTGAACAAGTGCAGAGCCTACAAGCACGCAAGTGCCTGAATGTAATTGTCTGCGGAGCTGGGTGTCAGTATATAAAGGGCCCCCCTCAACTGGTTGACATGAAGTTGTTTTCCTTCCATTTCAGTCTTCTGCATTTCCTGGTGCTGAAGGTAAAACGAGCTTCATATCTCCTCATCAAGTCTACTATTTGTGGTAATTTATTTCCATTTTCTGAATGATAGCTGCATACTAGTGCATGCTTGAATGATGCTCTTAATAATGCTCTAATTGGAAATCGATCCTTCTTGTGGTGAGGAACTTCCCACACTTTCTGTGTTTGTAGGTTAGCTCTGCTGTGTTTCTTTAGTTTTAGGTCACAACTCAGATCTGCACTGCCTTCTCAGAGCTGAGCCATAACTTGTCTATTTTGATGTGTGAGTGGTTTTAAATTAGGGTTTTTCATATTGACTAAAATTAACATTTATATCATAAAATGAATGAATTGGGTACAACTGTTTTAAGTCTCATCTGTCGCGGGTCTGTGTGCCTCTAAGGAAACTTTTCAAGTGGAGTTATTGGAATCAATTTAATCTATATTGAAGTAGTGGTCTTAAATCCGACTTGCCCATTTTCAATCACACTGGTCCCTCCACATTGAGTTCACATATTGTCTGAGCACTCCGAATAAGGCTATGAGAAATATAGTAGCTTAAAAAATCGTTCATGTTTTATTTGTTGACGTATTCTCCTTTAATAAGATTGAGGAGATATAAGACTTTCCTTCAAAATTTTACGTGTTATCAACCATGTTAAGTTATGACTATGTTGAACTATGGGTTCTACAGTGTCTTGACTATTTGAATTTATGGTTCACGCTATGTCTATTTAAATGATGCTTATGTCATGAGAATTGTGTGCAGAATAGGCTCATCTACTCAGTAGCTTTAATGGCCAACTGGTGTTAGATAAACAATACAGTATGTCAAATCTCAAAGTAGGTTGAGAAACTAATTATTACACTTCTGGTTTTCAGTATAAAAGATGTTTGAACTCAGAAGCCAGAGATGACATTCTGATTGTCATTCTGAAATTGTTTTAAATTATTACATTCCTGGTTGACCTGACTGAGAGCTTTTCACCCTGACAGTGCCAAAATAAAGAGCATCTTTATTCAGAGGCTTCAGATTCAGTGTAGTACAAACTACTGCAGGAGAGTTTTCCTGCCACCAACATCTTCAATAACTCTTTGAAGAATCCAAATGCATGATTTACAACATTTAATTTTCCTCTGGGATTAATAAAGTATTTTTGAATTTGAATTTAATTGAAGTATTTTTTTTCCACAAGATAGGTTTTTACTTCCTCCTTGCAGTGGACCCCACAACCTTTTTACCCTGAGTGCTGCCCCTGTGGGGTTGCAATAACCCCCCATATGCTTTTGAGTTGTTTTTTTTTCTTTTTTTGTTGTGGTTTTGGAAACTAAGGGACTGATGGAATACCCCCATCATTTCCTCGTTGTCTGACTGTGACATCTGCCGTGCTCTTCCTGAGCGTTGAGCTTAGACTGCGGGAGGGTTCACCATTAAATTCAATCTCAAATGAGTGTGAAATACTCACCTGGTGGGGTTGTTGGTTGTTTGTTTGATGGCCTGGCAGTAGATTTCATCTCTAAGAATTTCCTTTTCCTTCCCTAACTAAACAAACAAGGGAAATTGATTTTGAAGTAATACGAAAGTAACATCTGTCGATATCAACGTCAAACTTTGAAAATATTCTCTAACCAGCAGGATACGAGTGAGGCAATCTGCTTGAGTAGTGTTCTTCTGTGGTGTGATGTCCCCCATAAACTGCATCAGGGCTGTAAATAAACATAACCGCGTAACTTTCTTTAGGATCCAAAACGGTATCATATGTTTCAATAAAATAGGATTTGTCAACTCACTTATGAAGCACTCAACAGCCAAATCATTGATTTCAGAATCGCTGAATAGAATGAGTGACTCTTGGATGGGGACCTTAATAAAAATAAGATACAGTTAGGTCTTAATATTAAAACTTTAAAGATACTTCATTACTTTCCAATCAACCATAAAAGAAACATTTAAAAATACTTTTTCGAATCTTTCTAATGAAATCTGTTGACTTCTGTGTCTTGATAAGCACCCGGTTCAACTAAATAATTTATGTTACATACAGAAAGTTATTTCTTCAAAGACATTCGGAATTCTTACTGAGTTATTGACTTAGCACTCTGCAATGGTATAGAGTACTAAAAGAAAATTTGTTTTTGCAAATTCCTTGACACTAAGATAGAAAAATTGTTTTTACAAGTTCAAACAGTTTCTGGTTCTCTTCAATATGGTCATTCATATTTCTCAGAATAACCAGAGAAATATTAAGTTGATCCCTCTATTAAGCTCTGCTAACACCTATCTTAGGATTAGCTATGTCACCCAACCATGGTTCAGTTATTATGCTGTCATACAAATCAATAAAAATTTATTTGTATGGGTCAAAATAGCAGTTTGGGTGCTATTTTGTTGGTTTCCATAAAACCCAACAGTCAAAGTATTGATTTCAGAATTATTGTAGATTCTGAAATCTACAATATCAGAATCATTGCAGTGATTCTGAAATTATTGTATATGATCAGCCTATTCAACCTATACAGCTGACCATATACAGCGCCACCATTTAACATGGTCTGTTGTTTGAAAGACAGAAAAATGTCCCAGCTTGTGCTACGTTTGCCACCAGGGTAGTATGATGTCACGTTTGGGTTTTACCCTGACTGTCCTTTGAGAGTCCAATGGGTTTTGGGAACACGCTCTTGAGTACGGCAGACCATAAAACAGTGCACCAAACCACGCCACTCAGAGGAAACAAGGCATCAGCTTTAAATTTTTGTTAGCTGTCTGTGACATCTGCAGTGCTCAGGAAGAGTGCAGCAACAATATTAGTAAAATGTCTATCAGGATTACTTTATTGTTTTTTGCTGCCTTGATTCTGCCCTATTTCTGTCAGGCTGGTGTGTAATTACCAAGTTCTGCTTGTTATTTGGAAAATATTTTGAAATATGGATTAAGCATGATATAACTCAACCATCTCAATATTTGTGACGTACATCCCAGTCTACTTGTGCAAACTACCTCCTATCATGGTACAGAAGAGCACATCAGAGGAAGAGGCAAATGAAGAATTGTCCTCTTTGGACTAAAGCTCAGAATTAGGTCTGGTTGTGCTGTGATCAATCTTAAATGTCAGTTTTCATAGAAGAGAGGATTCATTAACTGGATATTTTTTCATATATAATGGAATAAAAGTTAATGGCATTAAATGAGTGAATATGAAGAAGAGCATGATACGAACTATAGGTTGTATAAAAATGTGCATATTTACAACAAATGTGATATATTGGGTGAAGAACCTCTGGAACTAGTTGGCTGAAATGATCTTGGCTGAAGTTGAAGGAACATCATTTTTACCTATTCTTTTTCCAGTGTATCTTTTTAAATGATATTATGTTCCTTATAAGTGAATGTAAAGTTTTAAACATAACAGAAGACATGGGACATTAATGTTCATAGGGTCTTACCAACGTGTGCTGAACTGCTTCTGAAAAATTTCTTCCAGTGACTGGCACTCCAGTTGTCTCCATTCTATCAGCACCATTTAATGCAACATTAGTCTTGCTCTGTTAAACAAGCATACTAACATGAACAGGATTAATGTGAAATTTTTACTTACCTAAAATACTTGGTAGCAAAGTCAGCCATAGCAGAAAAGATCTCAAGTTCTTGGTTGGATCCCTTTTGTGAGCTTTGATCAAGTGTGTGTTGTAAGGCCTGTACTGAAGATGGATTCATGGCCTCCCGACTAGACTGCACAGAACGATTGTCGAGTATCTGTCTGCTGTTGGGGACTGGTGAAGGGCCATTGAATGAATTGACTGGCTTAACATTTCTCATGCTTTTTCTCCTGTCATCTCTTCGATCTAGATGGAGCCAGTGATAATCTGGAGCTGCACATGGCTGGGTGATGTCCAATGGAAAAAGACCAGAACGCCCACCGGTGCTCCCAAACTCCCAACCTAGTGCAACATTCAGAGTAGATCAACATTAAAATAATAGAAAATTAACTGTATGGGTTGGATAAGCAGGTAGAAATAATTAATACTTAGCATATCTAATGTTAAATATACAGTAAATATACAATTATGACTACCACTGAACTAATGATCTCACCAGTCTGAAGGCCGTCCATTTTCTGCAGTTTGATGATATCCCCCTTATTGAAGCTCAGAAGCGTCTTGTCATCTGTCACAAAACTCTTTAGAGCAACCACGTGGCCAGAGTCCTATGAAAAATTTAAAATATATGTTAAAGAAAGATGTAAAGATGGTTAAAATCTAAAATGGGATAAGATGTAAGGGAGATTTAGCAAAGACAAACTAACACTTTTAACGGAAATATAAGATTAAAATGTTGTGTTTTACTAAAAATAATAAATCACCTTGATGAGTTCCTTGAGGAAAACTTCAATCATGGCAGTGATCTGAGGAGCTTTGGTTGACTGCAGCACTAAGTTTTCCGTTTTAAGCTCCAGTTTTACTTTGTCTGCTCCCTGAAGGTTGACAGACAGCACCTCTGCAAAACTATATTCATATAAAATATTATTTTGGGTCAAAAACAGTGGCATTGTATGTTAAGTTTTATTAGAGTTAAAATTCAAAGAAATGTAACTCTAATAAGATGACTATTTGTCACATTTTTAAGCTACTTAATTAGTATGTTCATATCAGAACTCTCAGTGATTAGAGTTCAACTCTGTTTTAGTTTAAGTTGGAAAACCATTGGATTTTCAGAAGTTATTTCTATAATTAAAAGATGATTGTCAGATAAAGACTATTATTGCCTAATATAGATACCTGTAACTTTTGAGGAGTTTGAGATGTTTTGGATTGATGCCTGATGCTTTCACCACCTTCAATAGACGAATCCCTCGATGAGAAACACCCAAAACCTGAGCATCTCCATTGTGTGGCTGCATGTAAAAAAAAAAAAAAATCAATATATATATATATATATATATATATATATATATATATATATATATATATATATATTTGTGATTACTATAGTTATTATAGTATGTCATATCTAATGGATAATGAGAGCTTATTTTATCAATAAGTTCACAAGTTACTAATAAAGTAACTTGAGTAGTAATTTTTGGGGAGCATCTGACCTGACTCAAGAATGTTTTGAGAAGCTGTAAAGTCTGAATGTCAAAAGTTGTCGTGGGAGTTAGCATAGATTCGACGTGTGTGTAAGAGACAAAATTGTTGCTTTGATCCAAAATGGCTGACTTCCTGTTGGGTTTGGACCAAGGCTCCAATAGACATTTCTGTAGGTCCTGACAAGTCACATATCTGTAAAGAGTTTGATAATTGTCGGCCAAAGCATGGATTGGGGGTAATATTTTAGTTTTTTTTTTAGAATTGTCAGGTGGAAGAATTAGACCACAGTCACCAAATATTGCACAGCATTCCTGTCGGGGGTGGGGGGGAAGGAGGTAAGATTGATGATATTGAATGAAGTGTAGATTGGCTGAAATCCGTGGAATTTAGAGCCAAATGCAATGGAAACAGAATGTCTGAATTTGCCCTCAAGCTTTTTGCTTTAAGGTGAGACTAATTTCTTATCTGTTTTCTGAAGCAAGAAGACAGACAAGACAGAAGATGTTGTTTAGGTCAGATATGAATCTTTCAAAGTAAAATATTACATTTCTGGCTATGAGGGAGCATTGATTAGGCAATGTCATGACTAGGCTATTGAGTATTATAGAGGACTTAATGTGGAGCGACCTTTTGTGTTTCATAGCAAAATGTGTGGGTCTGGCCATGCCTCTTCAACATACTCAAAAACTCACCATTTTGATAACATTTAATACCCCATGCTTTATGAGAAGACAGACCACGTTTCAAACTGATCAATCAAAATCTGCTGGAGGAGTTGGATCAAATGTGGAGGCTATAAGTCATCAAAATGAGGTGAACATTGACATTTCAATCCAAGCTGGCTGATTTCCTGTTTGGGTGCAGGAGAGTTTTCTATAGGTGTACCAAATTTTATTGCTGTACAATAAAGATCAATGTGGGGAGTATTTTGAAAGTTGCCACAGAGAGCTGTTGAGACATTTCTGTTCCAACTTTTGCAAACCCTAGCTTGCTTTTTCTTACTGGCTCTTGTTTTTATTCTGCTCTGACTCCCTGTGTTTCCTGTGATTTTTGTAAGTTTTCAATTTTATCAACAAAGAAAATTCTCCATGCTCCCAGCTTTTGTCTACATTTTGAAAGTCAATATTTTCAGAAAACACAGTCTACTGATATTTTAAACTATTGTCAAATATTTTCTTAACTGAAAAGCTTTGAAAAGAGAGGCAATATAGCGTAATAACTATGATATTACTAAACTCAGTTGGAGTGGTATGGTACCATGCAATTTATCCACTTTCAGTGTTTTCTTGCTCAGCAGAAGGGAGCAAGAAAGTTCCTTCCTGCTGAGGGAACTCAGCAGTAGCTGAATTTAGCTTCCTAATGTAAAATGCTATGTTATCTATGTAGCTTCTTTGTATAGATAATTTTTTGATCATTTGACATTGTAATGTACATCACACCATCTAAGGGAACAGTATCTGACTGGACTGAGTGTCATGCTAATCTGTCTTTATTAGCATGAGTTAGATTTGCTGAATATGTCTATTATAGAAAAAATAATTCAATCTGTTTTTCTTTTAATGTGCATTGAGATTAAATTTCTCAAGAAGAGCAATGTAAAAAAACAAAACTAAATAACAAAACTGAAGCTTACCGCCACAGGGTAGAGTCGACTAAAATAGTTCTTCCAGTTATCTCGAGCGGCAATAATGATTCTCTTCTTCATGTTGTCATCCTGAATGGTGCTTATGTTTGTTCCCACATTGAAATTTGCTATAAAAGGAAAACTTAAGTGAAGCTTTGTTACATTAGAGGGTAAAAAAGTAAGAAGCTTGGAACAACTTCAAAACTGCTGCCAACTGTGAAGAGGGTGGAAGCATTGCATATGATATAATAGTAACATTTTAAGAAATTGTGTAAATTACAACAGTCTTAAATAAAAGGGAACTAGACATTTGCCTAGTTTTCCATAAAGACTTTCCGAGGAACCCGAGGTCATTTGGTGTGACAGGACAATATTAAGAAGGATCTATGATCGTGTGGTGGCTTCAGTGATCCTCAATGCTGTGGTCTACTGGGCTTGTGGGAGCTGAGAGAGGGACAGCAAGAGACTTAAGGTAATCAGAAGGGCTGTCTCAATTTGGAACTGCTCTGGGCTCCTTTGAGGGGGTGAGTGAGAAGAGGGCATTATAAGCTGAAAACAATTATGATTAACTCCTCTCACTCCCTATATAAGACTGAGGATCTTAGGCAGCTTCTTCACCAGCAGACTGAACTTCCACAGTGTTGGTAGGAAGGATACTGCAGGTCATTCACACTAAGTGCAGTCAGATTGTATAACACCTACACTTAATAAATTGCTGAAAGACATGTACTACTACTCCCTACCACTACTTCCTCTATTCTCTCTCATCCATGTACATACACCATGATCCAAATTATTATGCCAGTGAAATTTTCTCAGATTTTCTTCAATGGTCAATGCAAATGATGGTCAGGATGAATTTAAGTCTAAATCAAATCAGTATGAATCAAATTTTAGTGAAAAATTTACTGAAAAAAGATGCCCATGAGAACACTATTTAAAAAAAAGAATAAAAAACTCAAAATGAACTGTTCCAAAATATTATGCACAACAGATTTTCTAAACATTTTATGGATTATAAAGAACTTCAAATGGTCATTCTTTGAATGTGCAGCATTAAGTAAAAACATTTAAAGATCAATCAAAACAAAGCTATAAACAGCTGTTATTAATTCCTTTGACTCTCCACTGGAGCATGCTCTCCAACTCTTAGACCAATCTTACCTCCAATCTTGATGTGATAATCTGGAAATAAGGCATATTACTCATTTGTAAATCTAGATCCAAAAACACCACCCGCAATCTGGTTCGGGTTTAATAAATTGGTTGTGGGTGGTGAGTTATTACATTTGCATATCCTCCCAGTATTTTGCACTTTCCAGTCACCAGCAAATTTTGGTACATTCTGTTTGTGTGTTGTTTGTATGGTATCAAGTTTGTGCCTGATTTTATATGTGCAAACATTTAGAAGGTAAGGCCCTATGTTGCATCCAGCCATAGTCCAAAGAATTCTCACCAAGAAGGTCTTTCATTTTCCTTCTTTCTTCACTATCAATTCTCACACAGTTGTCAGAGTAAGTGTCTCTCATGATCTGAAAAACAAAAAAAAAAAAACACAGAGCAAAGATGATAAAATCTGATCTTCATTTTCTAATTTGACATTGAATGAGAAGTTAGAAGTATAAAAAATAACCACCTGTTCACACAACAGGTTAAGGACATAGGGCTTGTTGAAGAGTTCTCTTGGATAAAACACCTGCAGATGAAATAAGAGGTTTCTTAATGGGGATAGTTTTTCAGATTTTCTCATAAATTGGGTGTTCTAAAACAGGCAGACTTGCCGTTGTTTTTGTAGAATTTGCATAATTTTAATTTAAACAAACAGTTCGCCATTTACATAATAAGCACAATAACTGCAAGACAGTTACAGAGACAACTATAAAAAGAAAAATCTAGTTGGTGAATGAAATTGAAGAGCAAAGAAATCAGCAGAGCTATGAATAACACAAATGCAAAACTTCCTGACTTCAGGGCTGCTGGTTTAAATGATTAGGAGATAATGGGTTACAAATTGAGAATCATCAATGGAGCTCCAAAACAATAAGGAACCAAAGTAGTAGGTCTTTTTTTAGTCTTCAAAATTTAAAATAAACTAATAATATTATCCTTGAAAGATGTTGTAGCAGTTGCATTTTATTTTATTCTTCAAATATTTTTATACATACAAAACTGATCAAAGCAAAGGACATTCAATCACTGAGCAGTAATAATTAATTCAACTGTCAAGATTAACCAAACATCAGAATTTATGGTTCAAAATGACAAAGATAACAAATGTGTATTATACGTTCAAGATTCTGTGTGTACGTCTAAGTACGGATGTGTGCAGATGTACATAATACACATAGATGATCACTTTCACAAAATTTACCAACAAACTGAGTCATTTGTGGAAAGTGAGGAGCTTCACTGTTTCTCTTTTTTTTTTGCAGTTTTACTGAGTTCTACTAATTCAGTTTAGAGGCACGGCGTGAGCTGGGTTAGCCATTTTAATTTTAGCAGCTGTTAAAATGAACGGAAGTCAATATAAAGTCCTTAGTTTGTATAGAAGTACAAGGATGTGTGTGTATGTGTGTGAGAAGTGAAGGGTGTTCATGTGTGTGTCTTACTTCTTTGCGCAGGAAAAGTTTTCCTGGCATGTTGAAGTGGGAGAAGTAAACCCCAGCAGAAAAGCGGTGAAGCTGGGATTGATTTCCTTCATCATCTGACATCCCGTCTGGACAGACAGAAAATAAGTACAAAGTCGTCTAAAAGCCTTGTAATATAAAGTAAACTTAAAGTTTTACAACTTGTCAAGCACAAGTTGACAAGTGTCTTCCTTTTTTTGGTAAAGTATGGGTTTGTAAAAAAATATTGTTTTTGTTTTCTGTATTTAATGTTAGTAATTTACCTAAATAAATTGAATAAAGTGAAACAAGTAGCAGCAATTTCACATTTTATGGTTGTAAACTTGAACTATATTTTAATCAGAATCACCCACAGAGAGATGGAGCAGCCATGGGTGGAGGGTCTGGGATGTTCACAAGGACAGGCGCTTCCTCTGGAGGAGGAGGCGGGGAGTCAGGAGGAAGAGGGGGGCGATGCTGGGAGCCAAAAAGCTCCTCCAATGGACGCTGCTTCTGCCTCATATTTTTAGAAATGACCCTCCGACCACTGGTGGATGGGGGAGAATTAGGCGGCCTTAGAGGAGGAGGTGGGGGAGGAGGAGCCCATTGTTTCTGTGTAAAAATGTTAAAATAAGTATTATAACAACGAAACATAAATAAATCTATCAAGCAGTTGTTTTTTGGAGTTTCAGCTGCCATGCCTGTGCCTTCTTACCTTTGGTTGTGGCACTGGTGCTTTGTTTCTGAGTTTAGCTAGAGCTTCCTCTTTTGGGTCACTCTTCTTAATAAATGTTTTACCAGGAGATCTGAAAGATACATAACAACAAAAAAAAATCCATACAGATAATATGTAGTACATATTAAGAAATATTTGAAAAAATCCTCCCTAAGCAGAGAACCCAGACCACTACTTTGGGGGTAATTTGGGATGGCCCCTGGTTTAAAAATATTTGCATTTCTATACTTTTTTATGTGGAAATTTTATAGTCAAATATTTTCATTCAACCATCATTCATCCTCCTTTTTTAACTGCCTTATTTAAAGCTGGATCACTGTTAGAATTTTCTGAGGTAAAATTATTTGTAAAACTTATTTTGGCTTTTTTAAAAGATTGCTAAATAACTGAGAACTTGAGATATTTGAATTTGGAAAGTGTGGAATTTTATTTTGAGTAATGTTTTGACTTACTTATTTAGCATTTAAACTGATGGGTTTTTAAGCTTAGTAGTAGAGTCACAGGAAATCTATTTAATGCCAACTTTGACTTGCACCGACAGTTTAATATCATATCACATTTTCACAAAATTCCAAAAGGTTTGCTCAGGTGATAATTTAACATTAGCTAATTTCCTCTGAATATTGATAGACATGGGTCGTAACAATTCTTGCAGTTCCAATAATAGTTTTTTGGCAAAACTTTCTCAACTATTACTTGTAGACAATTCACAAGTAATAGTGAAATGTCTACAAACATGTCAATGTCTGAACATAATTTTTTTCAAAAACAATGCATTTCAACATAAATTTTAAATTTCTCACTGAACATGCGTGTACAGTATTGGAAGTGGCGCAGAGCCTGATCCAGACTACTCTTTGCCTCCCACGTCCCTGGCTGTGTTATGCAACTCTACCATATGCTTATGAGTTTTTGCTATGTCTTCTGGAACATAGAGACCAACCATCACACTCCCAAAGTCACAAAATGTGTGCAAGCTTTCTAAAATTGACATGTTGTTCACAGCATCACCAGACAATGTGCGAAAACAGGTTTTGAATAACTGATATATTTTTAACTGCAAGTCTGAAGACAATGTCATGATCTTTGCCAATGCTTATAGAACAGTTGCATGGAAAACCAGTGATACCAGAATTTCCTGTTGCACTATGATTTGGCTTAGTGTAGAATGTTGTAGGCTGATGAACAAACCCTCATGTATTTCATTAAGTTATAGTGAAAATTGTTTGAGTCATAAAAAACTAAACAATAAACAGAAACTAAAGAAAAGAAAAAAATGCCTCCACAATGGAGGTGACCTGTGATCATTTTCCTTATTTTTATTCTTTCTATATTAGTCTTATGTTTGAGCATAAAATGTAAAATATGTAATATTTAGTTCTGTTAATAAATAATAATAATAAAAAAAATAACACTCTCGTGCTGTGATTAATCATGATTAATCACTATGCTTAACTTTGTAAACTTGAAATGTAAAATTGCATATTTAAAAAAAAATTAAGAAAAAGTTTTATTATCTCAAACCAAACATTTCAGTTTTACACATTTTTAAATTCCAAAAGGTGTTAAAGATAAAAAAAAAATTCAAATGGATCTTAGAAGTGTTATAAACTTCAGTTGAAGGACAATTATCCCTTGCAATAAGTAGTCAACATACTACCTTGTTTGTTGTTGTTGTTCTGCTTTTGAAACATTTATTTTGCACAAGAGTGTAATAATAATAGTACTAAATCAACCAACAGCCTTGCACAGATATTAGTTTAAAGTTCTTTTATTTGCTTCTGGGCTTCATAATAGTTTTGCACAAGGATATTTTTTGAGCCCGCTGAACCCCTATGTTCCATCTCCTTCCCTCAGATTAGCTGACCAGATGTTCCTGTGGGTTCCCAAATCACAGAGAAAATTCAGAGATGCTCAAATATTTTCAATTCCAGGCCCAAGCTGGAACAAGCTGTGTCTGCTCATAAGACAAACTCCTTCAGTATTTAAATCTTACATGAACGCACACTTTCCCTCTCTAAATTTTCAACAATGAAACATAATATGTATTCTTTTTAAAGTGCTTTTAAAGTGCTCTAAATGTGGTATGGTATGATTTGAATGCCATTTCAAATTTGGGAGAACACAAGATACTATGGACTCTAACCTGACAGGCTCAAAAGGCTTGGGTTCTGGTTGTGGTCGACTGTTGAACTGTTTAATGATTTCCCTGATGTTGGAGGTTGGTTCAGGCTGGAGCTTTGTGACTGGACTAGGTTCTTTAGGGGGGTCTGGTTCCTCATTTGGAGGGTTGGGAGGACACTTTACTGTGGGAGATAAGAAAAAAAATGTCAACATCACGACACAGACACTTCTAAAAACATTGGTAAAACATAGCAGAGGCTGGAAGCTACTGGAAACCTGATGTATTTTGAAGTCCATATTTTACTTTTGAGGGTGTTTCTACCTTTCACTCTCGTGCTGTCCTGTCTGGACAGACAGAAAATAAGTACAAAGTCGTCTAATAGTACCTCTATTTGATGTTCAGTAATGTGAACATCAAATAGAGGTAAAATTTATATCAAAAAGGTCTTCTTTGGCCCAGCCAAAGCTCCAGCTTTAGTCTAATAGAGAATCCATTAAATTGTGAGGGATCTGAAATGTTCTGAGTGGTTAGTGCAGAGGAGAACCTCTGCCGGTTCCAGCCCTCTGCTGGAACCGGGGGAGGTCCAGCCCTCTGGTCAGCAGTGATCAACAGCAGTACTCGAGTTTGCTGCCACTCTTTCGTCCCTTGAGTTTTGACTCCTGCATTTCCAAGTGACTTTGTTGACTTCTTGTGAAACATTGCCTGACTTCCTATTCCTATTCAGGAACCTCTCAAGTTGGATTCCCCTGAGCTACACCATCAATGCAGCCCCAGCAACCATCAGGGTCCTACATGAATACTCCTCTCAGAGCTCTCACCTCTGGCTCCGATCACCTTCATCCAAAGATTTTCACTCCTTTCAATTCTCCACCCACATCTATACATGTGGTTTCATTTCTATTAAGGCCAACCTATTCAGTATGACAATTGATAGTGTTTTTAAGTAAACGTGTATGTGGTAAAAGTATGCACTAGGTTGAATTTTGTCTTTTTACAGCAATTGTGCACAGTTGACAGATCACCATCTGTAAAGACAGATCAGGCACACAAAACACAGAGATGACACAGAAGGACTTTGTAAATTAAAGAGTTAATGAACTCAGACATGACTTAAGCAACACATTAAAACAGAATTCTTAGTTTTTTCTGCCAAAGACTATTGGTATTCCAATGAAGAACAGAGAACTACAGAGGCCTCTAGGGAAGGGTTGCTCAAGTCCAGTCCTCAAGAGCTGTCGTCGTACAGCTTTCAGATGCATCCCTGCTCCAAAAAGCCTGAATCAAATGAAATGCTCGTGACCAGGCCTGCTCAGAGCTGATCATGGTTTGTTGGATAAGGATGCTTCTAAAAGTTGCAGGATGGTGGCTCTCGAGGACTGGGCTTGAGCAGCCCTGCTCAAGGGCATATGGGGAAAAATCTTTCTTTTGCGTTCTCTCGCAATCTGCTTACTGCAATATTTGCTGGTCTATTTTGTATACACTCACAAATGGCAATTAAAAATGTCACATGTATACACATTTAAAGAGCCTCAGTGTTTATTCTTGAGTCTTTGATGCAAAAAAGTGACTGAAAGTCGATTTATTAACTGCGTATATGTAAGTTTGCAACAGAACTGGACATGAAAACAGCCCTTAAACCATTTAGTCTACCAACACAAAAAAGACAATCAAAACTTATTACCCCACGATAACTCAGAAATAGTCCAAATAGTTTTCTTCTTTCCTTCTTACGGAAAGTTTCTGTTTATATCATAGGTTTGTGCTGCGTTTCTATCCTAAAGAAAAAGATATAAAATTTCAGATATTTTACAAGATATTAGGATAAATGGAAAAAACCCACAAAAGCCTTATATTGTAGCAGAAAATACAATGGGCACCGTAAGAAAGGCTTACAGTGCTTAATTATGTCGCATGAACTGATCAGTACATTAATGCAAGAGAATGCAAAAACTTTTGCGAGGGAACGCAAAAGTATTGCGAGGCAGCACAATATTTTTGCATAACCCAAAAGAAAAAAAATCCCCACGTCTCCTGGGGGCCTCTGTAGAGAACAGACCTCTTTCATGACAGGAAAAATATTTTTCTGCAATGTACAATCTAATTAAAATCTGGAACTTCCCCTAGATTTCAGTTACATCGAGGCATCGGGCAGGTCTGTCCTGTTTCTCCATGTCTCTTCCTTCTAGCTGGCCAACTCCTTTCAATCTATTTTATAGCGAGTCCTGTACAAGGTATCGACATAGAAAACAGGAATATACTAATAAGCCAACTAGCAGACGATACTACACTTTTTTGGGTAACTCTGAACAAGTTCCCCCAGCCCTTTATATTATTCAGATTTTTCCTAGAGTTTCTGATTTATATTTAAATGTCAGTAAATGTGAACTTCAACCTGGAGACCACGTTCTTGTCCAAATCCTATCTGAAAGAGGAGGACCTGGAGAAATACATGCTTACTGGGAAAACAAAACACATGTTATAAAAGAAAGAAGAGAGCAAGACAGTCCAGTTTATGTGGTGACATCATTGGATGGTGAAGGGAGGGAAATAATTAACTTTTTGTTAATCTTATGGTGCAATTTACTAAAGCTAGTGTGTTCTTTAAATTCATTTAATTACCTTTATATCTCACTTAAACATCCCACTATGCTCAGATACCTATTGTCCCATTGATTTAATATATTTAGTAATTTATTAAATACTGTAACACAGTAATCTGTGTTAGTTGTTTTATTTGTTAGTTGTGCTGCTTGATTTAGTGCCGTTTACTTAAAACAAATGAGGCTTACCTAGTCACTAAACTTAAGCTTACTGTCAGGACTCTGGCATTTTGGGTTTGGTTTTGCTTTAGCATCATTATTCTTTAGTTACCTTAGGTTCTGTTATTCTTGTATGCTTGAGTCTATGTCCAGCTTTCTTTAGTGATTACAATTAGATTATTTTTTTATTAAATCTTTCTAGTTATTCCTTATTTCAGCCTCCCGGTAGTGTTTCTGGTAATGTTTATTTCTTAGTTATTTCATCACCCTTGGTTCAGTTATTCTTATAATTTCCTTACCGTTAGGCTTTGGTGGTGGAGGTGGGGGTGAGGGGCTTGGTGAAGGACGTGGCTGCTGATTTTGTCTGGATGGATCAGGAGGAGCTGATTGTCGCTTTGAGTTTCTTTTTTCCCGTTTTGATTTACCACCTAATGGGGGCAAAAGAAAAAACTTATTCACTGAACCTTGACATAGCCTGAAACAAGGTGATTTAAGTCTATTCACCAATATTTTGGAAGAAATCCCTCTTTTCTCTGAAAGATTGTCGGTCATCTGGCTCTGCCAGCTCCACATTTTCTTCTGGCTATAGAAGCAAATGGACAGGGTGATGTCAACTGAAGAAATAATAGTTTCATGGGTCATTATTCTTAGTCACAAGGAAACAAGATCAAGACATCTTAAAAATAAAAATGTATTATAAAGTTTCTATCTTTTCTCTCCATTGGCATGGCTAGCTGACTTCCAAAACTACTTCATTTAATTTAAATGTATGTAGTTGCATTGACGGATTCTCTCACTTTCCATATTCTGTTGTTATGAGCACCTTTAAAGTAAACCACAAAATCTCTAGCATAACCTATTTGACAAGAATGTCTATGAATGGATAGTCCACAATTTTACTGTGGATCTTTTAATTAAAAGTTAGAAATACCTCAGACTCAGCTTGCATGGAAGCTTGTTTATGTGCAGATCCTTTGGGCTTTGACCGTCGGGGTGAGGGACTTCGAGAGGAAGGTGAGTGCTGGCGTTCTCTGGAGCGGCGTGATGACTGGCGTCCAAACTGTCTATCTCTCTCATCTCTTTGTTTCTCCTTCTTAGCTTGCTGTTCCTTCTTCTGCCGTTCTTCAGCCTGCTGCTGAGACAAAGTCATTGCCTGCAAGGTCATCTGCTGGGCCTGAAATGAGAAGATTGACAATCCAAAGTAAGAACATAGAGCAAATAAACTGTAGTTTATCTTGATTAAAAAACTTTGATGGAACTTACCATGAGTAAGGCCTGTTGGTTGATGAGAGCTTGCTGAGTTGCTGCCATCTGCATAGGGTCACTCATAGTGGGAGCCTGAGGCACCATTAAAGCTGTGAAAGAATAATTTTCATTAACAAGGGGATAGATATTACAACTGATTACGCAAAAAAGCTTAAAATATTAATTCAGAATCAGCTAACACAATGGACAGTAGACGATACAAGGGTGGGAGCTCAGTACCAAATTGTTCCCGAGTCCTACCAGCAGGAAATATTCTTCTTCCTGCTCTCATTGAAGGTGGAAGTTTTTCTCTCTGGTCTCTGCATACCTAGAGCCTTTATTGAAATATCTTCTAAACTTCAAATTGATAAATTTTCTTGACTAAAAACTGGGCATAGGAGAGCCCTCTTGCCCTCATGGGACACATGCTGGCAGATACATTGTGGAATTTTTGGGGAAGTGGAAGATAATGTGTCTGCCTATTTTGTCCATTCAGGATGTGGAAGATTTGTACTTATTTGGATTTTCGATAACAGGATTTCTGATGTGACATTCCACGTCCCAAGAGATAGCTTCTGCAATCGAGGATCAGATTGCCAGGGCTCCCTGGCAATCTGCATTATCTCACAGGTGATGGGCCCATGGGAAGGGGGGTCCCATGTCTTCTCTTTGGGCTAAGCTGCTACCCCCGTGACCTGACCCTGGATAAGCGGAAGAAAATAAATGGATGGATGGATGGATGGATGGATGGATGGATGGATGGATGGATGGATGGATTTCTGATGTTTGGTGTTCAAGTTCCAATATGTTAGTTGCCTAGTGTCAAGAGAAATGGAGTTTTGATGACTACACTGAGCCTTTTGTGAAAAGGCTACATTTTAGGGCAGAAAGAAAGTCATGACTCCCCTGTGTAAGCCTTGGATGGCTGGATGATATGTAAGCAAGACGCTCTTTCCATCCTCACCCCATGACATCTGCTGTGGTAGACTGTTCTCAAGGTCAACTGACAAACTCCACAACAAATCAGATACATTGGCTGGGGTCAGCTGTCTGGTTCAAGGACTAACACTTCCTGGACTCTCACACTGACTTTCATTCTTCATTGTTAGAAACACACACCCCTCAAACTCACTGCCTTTACTGGCTCCACTCCTGTATCTACATGTTGTTTCTTAATTTTTTAAGTTCAAGTATAGAACAGGTTTACCTGGCATATTTGGCATCATGGCAGCTGGACCGTAACTGGGAATTGCAGGGTTTACTGGTGCAACTAAAACACAGTGTGCATTAATATAAAGAGTGAGAGAGAAAACAAAGATCTTTTCAGGTATTTTATTTTAATAAAGTTCACATCATGAAAAAATGATGATCTCCAGGGAAAAAAATAATATTCATATTAAAAATAACATGCAGCTTTTATGAAGTAAATCACTTAAATGTAAAAAAAATAAGTGATTTATACTGTAGTCACTTGAGACAGAATCAGGGCATATTAATGCATCTTCAGCCACCCAGTACTGTGTCTTCCCTTCTGTCTAGTGTTATGCATCTTGATTGTTTGTAAAGCTTTATGCAGAGATGTAATGTTAATCTTGTGCTGCTAAAACTGCTGTGCAATGACAATAAATCTAATTTAATCTCTAGTCCTCTAGTGCTAGTAGTCTCACACAGTGAGAATACTAGCACCAATTGGATGGACCTCAGTTGAATTACGGTAGGTTAGTCACTTTAAACTGGCTGAATTTAAATATGCTGTTAAATGTGTAAATAAATTGTCATTTTGCAAAAATAAATTTTCACATTCATATAGGATTTTCTTTTAAATCCTTTTACAAAAAGCTAATGTTTGTTGATCATAATTGTTTTTTACAATTTACAATTCATCCTGTTAGACATAAAATATCTAAGAGGATGAATACTTCTTAGGAACTATATTTGGCAGTTCTTGCAGATCTTGGTCTGTGGCTATCAGGTTTATTTGTATAGCACATTTCAACAACAAGCCAGAACTTTACATCATAAAAACTCAAAAATATAAAGTCAGAAAAAACATCAACATTAGTTTCTTACCCAATTAGAAACCAGTAACAAGAAATAGATTTTGCAGTCATCACATTCATCAACGCACATCAAATATGTTCAATGCTCCGGTACTTATGGGTTGAAATCAACTCTAAAAAGGTTGGGTTTTAGTCTGAAATTAAAGAAACTCAGTATTCCAGCTATTTTGCATTTGTATTTGTTTGCTCTAACCCAGAAAGTAACCTTTGTAAAATAAAACTGGAACTGTGCTGATAATTTCAATGTGCAATATGCAGATGATGTAAAAACAATAAGTGCTTTTCAAAAAACCAAATGAATAAATGTTCATAAAGTACAAAATAAACCATTTAGTTTCCAGAGGTTGAATCAAAATTTTAAAGATTTTTTTAGTTATAAAACAGTTTAATGTTTATTAAACCATGGGGAAAAATTGTTTAATATATCAATTTGAAAGTTTGAAAATTTTGAATATTAAACTGTCCGATCAGCAATATGCATATCTGTCTAATGACTTCTAATGACTTTGAGTCAACAGTGTAAACCATCCTTTTCTTCCACAATTTCAACTAAAAAATATTGCTTTGCTTGCTAAATCTTGTCAATGTTAACATTTTACTTTACTTTCTAAGAGGAATAACATAATAATTTTCTAGTTTGTATTCTATTTTATATCTTGCTTATTTTGAAAGTTTAATGGTAAACTTTTTCCTTTCTGAATAGATGTGTCTATGTTTTGGTGTTTGGCGAAGACTTTGAGCTCATCAGCAAAGTATCAGTGGAGACATGCAGAAAGACAGTCAACATTTTAAGAAGTGCTTATTTACTATAAGAAATATTGTTCCATTGATAATTGTGTTTTACCAAAAAAAATGTCATGCAGAAATTTATTTATGAGACTGCAGAACAAAGTTTTCTTTAAAGAGTTTGAATCAAAGGTTTGCTGCCAGTTTGGTCCGATTAAAGATCAGTTTATGGTTCCAATTTTATGTATAATGTATGAAGGAGCTGGGTATTGTGGCTCAGAAAAACTTTGAGTCAACAGTGTAAACTATCCTTAACAATTATCCATGATACTGTATCGACATAATGGGTAATATATATATATATATTTCAGAGAGCAATATCATATCACTTACCCATGGGATAGGTTGGCATTGTCATAGGCATCCCTGAAAAACAAAGTATCCATTTCTCATTTAGCAACATTTATCTCAAACTCAATGTAAAGTAACTACAATTCTTTTTATGAAAAGTCAACTAGTCATTTCCATTTCCCATGATGAATTCCATTAGTCAATTGATACATCCTCAATCTGTGACCTCACTCTGATTTTCTAATCTTCATTTTTTTAGTTTACCTATCTTGACTATATAGTTTAAAAGGTACTCTGTTAACAAATGAATGTTACATTTCTGGCCAAGAATGTTTTATCAGTTTTAATTCAAAATCTAATCTTAAATAATACAACATAATTGCGATATGAAAAATCTTTCATGCAAACTCACTCATTTGAGTAAGAATATACAATAAGAGATGCCTAAAATGTTGACTATAAATTGAAAAATTGGCATTTCAAAGTATCTAATGAATTGCATACATTTATTATGATGCAGATGGTCTGTGCGATGTGCAATCACAAAAAATACTTTACCACCTCCAAACATTCCAGGCTGCATAGGTCCAATCCCCCCTTTTCCTCTCATCCTGCGGTTTAACATGGCTACTCTATCCATTTCCTACACATGAACACATTCAGTTTAATGTTTTAATGTTAAAGTGTAACAGAGCAGAAACTCTAAAAAAATCACAAATGAGGAAAAGCAGAATGGCAGGGAAACCTAAATAATACAAAGAGTTGACATGTAGCAGGACTGAGTGCTTATTGCATGTGCCACAATAAGCATACTAATAATTCTTACTAATTAGCCTGGTGCTAATTAGTAAGAAAGACTGAAGTCACTAACCGCAGGTCCTTGGTCTAGCACAGAGTCAAATAAGTCATCAACATAGGTCTCCATCTGTCTGCTCCGCCCTGTAGACAAGTACATATTCATTAGAAAGCTCCAGACAGAATCAGAAACATCACTTTGATTTATTTTTTGCAGTATATTGCTTAATTTGATTTGTTGAGATGTTTGGACAACACCACCCTGTTGAGACCTACTGTTACTATGTGTTCTGGTTAATTCAGATGTATGTACAGTTAGTAACAAGTTTCCTCCTGCTGTAGGTTCGTTTTCCTTTCTACTGTCACTACCTGCATATTGGTATGGAGGACTACATATGAGCAAATGCAACTGATTGTTCAATGTTGCAAATGTACCTTCAGTGATGGTGACTGGTGCAAAGCCAGCGGGGTTTCTTTTAGAAAACTGTTTACCAATTTGAATAATAAACTGAACTTTACACTATTGTCTTAATGGCATGTGTTAAACTGAAATGTTGTGAACAAACAGACATAATTTTAATTTTATTTAATTCTAAGCATCCATCTTTCTGTCTGTCTATCTGTTCACAGGAAGCACATATTCCAGCCTGTTCTAAATTAATCAAACTATTTTGAAAAGCCTATGGCACGATATTCACAATGTTTGATCCAGTGTGTATGGTTTGTATTTTTCTAAATTAAAAAGATGCACATTGAATCCTGATTTTGAAGAAAGTAAGGCAAACCCAAATAAACATTATTTTTCTACAATTCTTCAGCCAATTAATACAAATAAATTTTGGTATTCTTTGATCTAAAAAGAGTGATGTCTGGATCTCTCTATTTAGGCTGCTGCCTTCACAGATCGACTCCAGATGGACAGACGGATGGATGAATGGAAACCGATTGCAAATACAATTCCTAAATGGATTTGGGAACTAGAATGAGAAGCTATGAACACTTTTTTGTTAAATTAAGAAACACAATGTAAATTTGTGTAAATAGTTTACACTTACGGAATGGCATTTGTTAAAAAATTTATATTTTTGCCCCCAAGTATCTATTTGATTTCATTCAATTCAGTTTTGAGTAAATTGTTGCAAATCAGCGTTATCTTATATATAACGCTGATTTGCAACAATTTACTCAAAGCACTTTACAAAAACAATGCAATTAGATGCCATTACATGAATCTCAAAGTGATGAATTTAGGATGTGTCACTATGTTGGCAATTAATACTTACGATCTTGAGGATAGTCTCGTCCCCAAAGGTTTCCGTCAAAGGGCGGCAGTCTAGGAGCTTGAGTGGAAGGTGCAGGTGGGATGAAATCATCAAAATCACCCATTGGAATTCTGAAAAGAGACAGACACAGAAGATAACATTTAAAGAACATACTGTTAAAATGTTGATCAAGTTGATCAAGGCAAATTGCTAAGTATAATAATTCTGATTTTGCTGGATAGGGGGATTTAAAATGTAATGTAATTTGGTGTCCCTTTTTTAATTTTTTTAATTTTTGATATTTTATGACCAAATTAACCTGACTGTAGTTTACACAGCCATTCAATAAGTTATGATGTTATTTAAGTGTTAATTTATCTAAGTAACTCAGTTCACTGAATGAAGCAAATATGAAAAGCCTTTATTTCAGTTAATTAGGATAATATTCTGCTTTCAGCTAATTAAGATAATATTCAATCAGAAAAAAATAAAATTTTTAATACAGAAATGTGAACTAAATAAATGTGTTTAATACCTGCTAAAAGGTTGACATCTTCAAAAGGTACTGCTAGATATGAATTGAACTTGTTTGTCCTATAACGGAAATAAAGAAAAGTTCTGAAAATAACAGTGCGTCGCACTGTTTTTACCTCTCTCCTTGATTGCTAAATAAGTAGTCAGACTGCATGGAGGAGGGCGTCCCTGGTGCTATGGGAACTTCAGCTTCGGCTCCAGCCAGCAGATCCATGACAAAGTCTGAGCCTGCAAGGTCTGACCACCCTTCATCTGTAGCAAGAGAAACTGACCAACCTTGCACAGCCTCAGTCACCCCTCTTAAGTTACAACACCATATAGAGAGAGGGAAAATCAAGAAAGAATAAAACACAGAACAATGCAAAATAAGGCAGTTTTAACAAATATGTTGTAAGAACAACATGGCTACCTGTAATAAAGAAGCCAAGAGGCCAGCTGCTCTCCTGTTGTCCATGACTCCACTTCAGTTGTCAATATCTCATCTGGTGTCAGAGGAGACTTTGTTTTAAATGGATCCTTCCTGTTTAGGTCCTGCTTAGATTTTTTTAAATCTTACCATTGAAAGTGTTTACTTCCAGAAGCATTGTTCCTTTCCTCTGATTGGATGTCCACTCCAGTTGTGTGGGTGGATAGATGCGGGCAGTGGGGCCTGGGAGCTGCAGAGAGGTCAGCAGCTTGTGTTGGCATAGTGAACGATACTCTGCTGGAGCATGGTCAGATACATACCTACAAGGAAAGTAGGCACACATTTAAAGAAAGCAATATAAACAAGTCATCTAGTATCTTACACAGACTATAGCAGATTAAGCAGCATTTTCAACAGATATGGGAGATCAAACAAGACTAATATGAGATGTTTTACATAAAGGTGTGTCTATTGCAAAGATATGTTAAAAAGATTAGATAAAAAGATTGTCTACTTAGAATTGCATGCTCTCTTTCTCTTTATCAACTTTTCCTTGTTTTGAATTTTGCCTTCAGTTTAGACCTTTCCAATCTAGGGTAATTTGTTTTTCATTGTCAAAGTTTTGAAGATGCTGGAATTTTTGCCTCTTTCCTTGTTGTGGCAATCAATTATTATAATTAAAATGCTATGCATTCAATTAATGCTATGGTGTAATGTTCTTCATCTCATCTAATTAAATTAAATATAAATAAATAAGACTCCATTATTATTTTGCAACAAAGAAAACAAATACAATTCTGGTTAGTCTATATGACAAAACAGTCCATGCATCTTTTGTTCAGTTGGTTTTAATTGATCATCAAAAATAGAAAAATTAAAAATGACTTATTTCATGGGAGATTCCAAAAATGCTATAGATTGATGTCTTTGTATTTTTAACTTTTTCTTACATCAAAAATCAAGCATTTATAAAACGCCCCTGGATCTTGTTTGCTTTTGATATTTGTTTTATGCGTTCGCCTATGAGTGTGTTGATGGTGAGACGTGTCTGGTCCAGAGGGAGTGCATTCTGAGGAATATAATCCCTCTGCCCATCATTCATTCAGAGTCTTGCTGACTTTTGATCGGTTTAATTTAAGAATTGTTCCCTGATTTTTTCCTGATTTCAAAACTTTGGCTGAAGTGGCTTCACAGTTTCATTCATTGTTTATTTGTGGCTATTGGCTACAGCCTGTGGTGTTTGTTGGTGTGGAGAAAAGGTGACACTGGATGTGGATGGATGTTCAGTTTTTGAATGGACTGGAAGCAATGTCATTTTACTAAATGACGTCTAAAAGTAGATTATGACAGAAAATCTGTCAAAATGACGGACAACAAAAAAGCAGATAATCTAAAGTGTAGCACCTACTTTAGCAAGGCTTTGTCCAGAGTTGGTGAAGGTGTGAAAGCACTCAGGCAGCAGGCCAGCAGGAGCCATCCCCTCAAGCTGTCCTGTTCCTCCTTTTTGTCCATTGTGTAGTACACTAACTGAACCAGGATCTCATCCCTCAAGGCTGCCTGTTTTTGGCCTCTCTCCACTATATAGTTACCAAACACCTGCTCCTGTGACATGGTAATATCTGATTCAGCTAAAAATCGCAAGATCTGTGGAGAGGGATGCAAAATGACAAAGATGGATTGATGGGATGACAGTTGCCAGCATACAAAAAGAAAGAACATCCAAACATCCTCATACCAGTTTGTTGATCTCCAAGGCTACTCTGGAATATTCGGGTTCCAAAGGCATGAGAGGTCTCTGGAGTGGGTATCCCTGAGGCTGGCTCCATGTATCCTGAGGGCAAAATACAGTGAGAAAATCTAGTCGAATGTGTTAAATGTATATTTTTCATCCAGGTAACATGTCTGCGTGCATTTTCTATGTATTTATTCTGGACTTTCACCCCTTATAACCTGATGACTTTTTTTTTTAACCACCATCAGAATCAACAGTATGAACAGTCATTTAAAGTGAAAAAAATGAAGATTGATATCACTTTCACTTCCTTTGAAAGACATTTTATCACGATTTTATAAACATATTTTATTTAAAATCTAAGAAAGTATAAATATTTATAAAAGTCTAAGATTCAGTCTTTCCTATGAAGTACTGTACAACTTTCCCAAATAGCTGTGCCATCATTATTAATAAAATATTTCTTGTTGTAGACATGCTTAGTTCTCATCTGTACTGACACAGAAGCAGATTGTATAAGTCTGAATGTATTTCCTTTTGCACATCCTGATTGTGAAGGGTAAAAACCATTTCAGTCAACAGAGTGTAACAATTGGACTATGACATCACTGCTTTCTTTGATGAATACATGTTATGGTAAAGACCAAAAAAATTAAAAAATAAAAACACACACCAGAAATAAAAACCTCTAGATTACAGATTTTAGACAGTTTCAGTACAAACAGTAAGAGACATTAAACCTGAATGCAAAAATCAGGGTATCACTACAGACCATATTTGTAAAAATATCCGTAAGCAAGAGAGATTTTCTTTTATTTCAAAGCAGAATTGGGAAGAGCAGTGCAATACTCTCATTTATGTCCTCAGTAGAAGATCTCTGACCTATTGCTTTTTCTGATCCATATGATCCAGAAGTGTTGCAAAATCTAGGTTCATTTTTATGTTACATAGTAAGGCAAGAAGAAGAGGAGGAATTAAAAACGTTATCAGTGTGATTAGTGGGAACAGACCTTCAATGTGGACTTGGCAAAGCGAGAGAATGGGTATCTGTCAATGTCCTGAGGAAGGCTCAGCTTATGTTTTGCCTTCACCTGTGGAGGTGCAACTTCTGTAACCTGTGATCCATGGTGGCCCCCTAGTGGAAAAACACAGGATCAGAATCACAAGCCTATCTGTTATTTAAAAAGAAACTCTTCAAATGGTTAGAACTACTTATAGAAGATATGAAGAATGCATTGGGTCTGAAGCAGAGTTACAAATCTGGATGTACAGGTGAAATTCTCAGTGGACCGAATGTGGTTTTCCAGCCCATCAAGGGTTTAAACCAGTGAAGGCAGGCCACGCTGTTGCACACAGAGGCCCAGCCAAAGACATGGGTCACATGGCATACATATGCCATGTGACCCAAACCAGCCTATCATGCAGGGGCAGATTTACATTTGCCAAAAGAGCCTCTAGCTGTAACCGATCACAATATTACTGAGAGAATCCTGACTAGATGGATTTAGAAAACAGATGTACCACAGAGGAAAATATACTAAGAGGGAAACACTGGGAAATGAAGTGAACTAATGTAATTTCTTACTCATTATGCAAATATGTACTTTACAAATACCATGCTTCCATGTCACAGAAATGAGATGCTTTTTTGGCCACATGTACTCTTTAGCAGACTCTGAAGTCAAGAGCTGAGGAATTCTAAGGCTCTCTCCACTCTAGCCTGGAGAACTTCTTTTCTTTTATGTTCAAATCTGGAGTGAGGGTTTTAAAAATCTTTTCAAACTCTTTTGATAATAGAGTTTGATATCAGAAATTGCCTTTATTACAGTAAACAATTAGGGATCTGGCTGTATTTTATTGTGAACTCAAATGTTTAGCAAAATAGTAAAAAGTAATAATGTCATCCAAACTATTTGTTCAGGTTTTATTAACATCAGTGGATCTTTAAAGGAAGAAGAACAAACTGAGCAAAGGAAAAAAAATAATAATAAAGAGACAAGAAAAGATACAGTATGTAATGATAAGAATCTTCAGTTAAGATTTTCTGCAGATACTTTGCTTGGTGTGATTTCCTGTGATATTATATGAGCTCTACATAACTGGTGCACAATTTTGTTTAAAATCAGTTTTTGACAGCTTTTTTCAAAACTTACCTGCTGCACTGCGGAGTCTGGCGAACAGCTCAGCAGGTATCTCTAACATCCCTACATCCTAAAGAAAATAGAATGTCTTTTTGTCAAAGTTAAAAATAAAAAACTTGGAGAAGAAATAAGTAAAGCAGAGAAATAATTTGCTCCTATTATCCTCTTACCATCCCTGATGAGATGAGTTTAGTCTTTTTAGCTGTTTTAACTTTGTTCTCCTTGTGTAATTCCTGAAATCAACAAAAATAAATCCTCAATTTGTAATCCTGAATTCTTATCCTCGTTTAATGTTCTTCATCTCAGACTTGCTGCTAACCCACTGTAGGACTCCTTATGTGTGGGATTGTATTGTTTGTGTGCTTTTAGTGATCTTTGTCCCCAATTACTGTCAGAGGAGTATTTTCTATCATACCTAATCTTAGGTACAGGTCCTGTTATATACTTGTGTTACACCCATAATGCTTTGGTTCCTCCTCACGCAGTAAGCCACACAGTTCCAAATGTTCAGCAATGCTGTCATTTTATGAGAACATTTACAAGTGACACTGTCTCTAATGGCTGTATTTATTATAAAGGGTTTTTGGGCTTCACTTTGTCTGATTCCTCATCTGTCTACCTCAGGTGACTAGCCCCTGCCAGTATTATTATTATTATTATGTATACATCATTCATATTAGGTTTAAAGTCTGTATATAGTATAAAACTGCATAATTTTCCCAGCTGTATAGTTTGTATAAAACTGAACCAAAAATATAGCAAAGCCATTTATTTCTACTAGAGACAAAAAATTGTAAATAACACTCGTAAATCAACAAAGCACTGGTATTATAAGTACTTTTTGAGATGCAAATGAAATGACATTAGTGAATGTTGTTGCCAAAGATCACGTTACTGAGCTTCAAGAGCTGAGCTCAGAGTTCAAGTCTCATAAAACGATAAGTTAAACCTCAAAACTTGACTGTAAAACTGAAGCCAAATGACATATGGTTAAAGATATTAACCTCATTTAGCTACTTAATACACATTGAAACAGATTTAGAGGATGTAACAAACCTTGATGAGAAGAGGAAAAAAAGAGTCACAGAGAGAAAGGAAATCCTTTGCAGTGTCTTGAAATCTGATGAAGACAAGTCTCTTCCTTATTAACCTTGAGTGTATAGAGTAAAATTACTGAAATAAAATTAAAAACATGCTGAAAACATTTCATGTGCATATCAATGAGAAAACAAAGAATAAAGCACCCTACCTGGTGAAACTGCGAAGCCAACTGCCATATGGGCAGGTTTTAAAGAACACAAGGAGAGAGGCAGTGCTGCTTCAAATTTCACCATGGCAGGTTAAAGTCCAAGATGAGAGTGTAGCCGAGTGTGTAGTCAAGGTGTGTATGCACACACAGGTAACATGATTAATGTAAGATAAGAATGGTAGTTAAAAGAAATAGATTCGTTTTTAAAAGGAAGTTGTTACCAAAGATTAAACATATGAGTTCAACACACCCTGATGGAAAAATTCTTGATTTTAATCATATTTTACTACAATAAATAAATATAAAACAATATTTTCACCCAGGCTATTCAAATCTTAACCGGACAGAGCAAAATGACAAGACCTATTGATAAAACACAGAATCTCCAATCTAATTATTGTTAAAAAAGCACAGTTAAAATCCACACACTAAACACCGGGTTACCCAATATAAGATTTTTAACAGATACATTATTTTTTTATAAATGACTTTATTGTCAAGCAGAAACGAAAACCATGTTTCAGTTACAAGTAACTAAAGCGGCCCCACCCAGCTTTAATTTTGCGAGTGTAGAATAAACAAAAAAACGGGTGGAGCTGCCTTTTTTACGAGGATCTGGAGTTCAGCAAAAGATCATTTGGAAACTTAAATTCATTTGAATGTGTTGCTGTCTACTCCAAATATTACATTTGTGGAATATTTGCCATCTATAGAACTCCAAAAAATCCACTTAGTTTTCTATTCACGTTTTATAAATTACACCATAAAAGGTTTCCGACAGCAAACGCAATGAATATTTTTTTGAAGTTACACTATAGTTTGATCAATTTTTTATCTCCAACGTCCAATCTCTTGTTGTTTGTGAAAACAAGAGAACATTATGGTGCAACTCCAGGGCAATACATTTTACACCACATAGCTGAACCTATGTAATTCAACTGTCGTCACTCTACTCTTCTGTTTACAAGAGTAAATAGAAAAAAAAATCAAGAATATCAGACAATAAAAGTGAAAGCTAAGGTTGAATGGAAAAAAAATCAGCCAATATTATAAAACAAAACAAAACAAAAATGAATGAATACAATAATTACACTTTGGTCTCAGAGGGTTCTTATCTTTGTCAGAGGCATGCTATGTGCTTAACTGTGAGGAGCAATAAAGCTGGGTTGCATAACAGGCAAACATAATTTATAGCATTATAAAACTTGAAAACATGAGGTTGCCAGGAAAGTGTGGCATTTATCAGATGAATAGAGTACCGTACTTCTTTTGTGTCACTAACCTTTCTCCAATGGTGCCTCTTAATTGTGTTCCTAGTAATTAGCATCACAGCCCAAAACTGGGTGAAGGACTGCCTCAAACGCTTGTAGTGCTTCCTAAAGTGGAGATAATGCAGTGACTCTTAGGAGGAGATTCACGAAGCAGGTGGAATTATTTTTGCAATGGATCCAAAAACAGAAACAATTCTGTCCACAGAGTCCTGTCAAGTTTCTACCTACTTTTTAAAATAGTACTAAATAATATTTTTGAACATAAAAAAGGACCATAATAACTAATGCAGGTCTGAGCAGTTTTTCATAGAAAACTGTGCCAGGAATCAAACCCAGGACCTTTTAATTTTTTTGTCAGGACGTACAAATGTCTGTTAGAGCCATGGTCCAAACCCAACAGGAAGTCGAACATTTTGGATCAAAGCAGCCATTTTGTCTTTTTTACACACGTTGTTTTATTTCTCCTGCAGGGTTGACATGCAGACTTCACAGTCACTCAGCTCAGTCAAGGCCAGTTGTCAAGGCCTATTTCTTGGAAGGAGTAGGAGGAATGATAGGTTATTTTGTTTGTTTATGGACAATGTGCAGCTCGCTGCACCACAGACAGCTCTCACATCACACAGTTCATAAAAAGTTGCGTGTCATTCGGATGTGTTGAATCCATCCCAGATAGCAAGCGATGGTAATCAACGTTGAATTATGGCCAAAAAGATTGTTTTTTGCTTGAAATCCTCTTCACCCCCCACTCCTCTCTTCCTCTTTGAGCTCTGGGTCAGAGCATTTTATTATTGAGTGGGGTTTTGTCATGTTTTAAATTAAGCACTACATGTTGAGAACAGTGGGTTGTAATTCCGTTCTGTACATTTTCTTGCTCGTCTTTAAATATTATTGCTGACTGTTTTGTGCATAATGTGTTGACACAAAAACATCTAAAAATCACTACAGATCACTACAGTGGAGGGGTCCATCCTCCCTTTTTCCCGTTTGTCCCAATCAACCCCTCCCCCCCACACACACACACCGCTTTGCTGTAGACTGTTTTGCAACCAGCTTCTGAATTGAATTCGACTCTGAGCACTTTTGCAGTACATTTGGAAACATTACTTTTATCCTAACTATGTTGTCTGAAGATAAAAACAGGCATTTACTTTAAATATTGATTGTCTCATTTTAACATGAGTGCAGCAACCTTGAATGCTACACTATGCTGCAGCTTGATGCTGTAGGTAAATGTGATTATATATGTCAACTAATAGTAAGAAACCTATTCATTATTGTGTCCTTATGAAACTGTGAGTGTACAAGGAGAGCCGTACGGTTTGTGCGTTTGTTCTCAAACCAATAACCAGTACATTATTTAATATTTCAGAACGTTTCAAAAGATTTTTATTATCTTTTTACCAGTCCAACCAGTGCCTTCCGCATTCTTATTTTGTGTTTTTCAGCTGCCGCTCGGCAGTTGAATCCAAAGCTGATTGACAAGGACTACAGCAAAACTGTCAAGAAGTGGCTTCTCTGTGCGCAAAAGAAGGATGAAGACACCAAAGAACCAAAGCGATGCCAACCAGAGTTGAACTTGGGATAGCCCGACTTACACTGTTTCTCTGATTTATACAAGCTTAACCTTATGGACACTAGTCTTCCAAGGACAGTAGACTATTCTGACAGTCAAAAAAGAGTCAAATATGTTTACAGATCTATTCCCGCTTCCCTAAATCAAATCTAACATTAATGCCATCTTGTAATTTTTAAGTTTGTGCACACACAGTTTTGGAAATATGGTAATGTAAGATAATTTTGAACAACAATACTTATCATCTGCCAACAAAATTGTGTATAACAGCAGTGAAGAAACTTTTATGTTAAGATGCAATATTAATTCCCTAACTTTGATTCGACACAAAATCAACACAAATGTGCATGGTTGAATCAACACTGGTATAATGTCAATTATGGTTGAACCCTAACGTTGATTCAACGTGTAAGTCACTGACCACTTTATTATTTCAATGTCCAATTTCAATGTGCATTTAGTGTGTCTGCCTAATGTTGTTTTAATGTTGATTCACTCATATTTACTTCTGTAAAATCATCCACTACAATTTCCCCAAAAAGCCACTCCAAGTATCGAGGGCTTAACGCTCCAACACCTGAATAAAATGCCAACTTCTCCTCTGATGACTGATAGATGAGCACCAGTGCAGAAAGATGAATATATTTCATGTAACTTCGCATCTGTCCATGCCATGATTTTTAATGAGTTATTGAGTGAACAACCTTATTAAAAGATGAGCTTGATTTAATTTAATTTTAATGGAAAGACTGCAATACTAAAACTGTGTAAATTGTGTGTGGCGTTCCTGCAGATGCCACAAGGCTGGATCAATGCTGAGCTGTGATGGCTGCCTGATGCTGCTTGCAGTTTTAATATTAATCTTGTAATTATGTTTATTGTTTTGATGTCAAAAATTATATTGGTGAAGACCACTTACTGCATTTTTTAAATTGCTTTATGTTCTTTATTTAAACCTTACACTGACTCCAATGGATTTTAAAATCCAGGAAATATTGTTTGAATGAAGATAAAGTTTTCTGAAAATTAAACATTTTACTTCTGACATATTATACACTTCAGAAAAATTTAGCAAAAAAATTCTACTTGCATACCTCGCCTGATGTCCTCGGATGTGACTCTGGAGAACAATTGCTTTTTGTTTGAAAAACTTGAAATTTCTTCTGCAGAGGAAGCCCCTGATGTTCCTCTGAATGGTGACAGCTGCCCATGTCTGAGTGCTGTTCCATTTGTCTTCCAACTTCTGGTACAGAAGTTCTTTAAGAAACACCTATAGACCCATTCAGCAAATGAGAAAAATATAGAAAAATTATTTTAGTTACTCAGTTCATTAAATGACACAAGTGAAATCAATTACACACACAATGTCATTTTCAAGCCTTTATTTCTGTCAACTGTAATGAGTGACCCAATAGCTAATGAACAAATCCCTTAGTTTCAAATATTAGAATGTTTGATCAGACCAATCAAAAATATTTTGTCATGGGGCCCAAGATTCCTGGCAGTGCCACTGAGAGGTGGGTAGACTGTGGGTAGACTGTGTGAGATAATCAACCATTTAGCATGATTAGCTTAGCTACAGACTACTGTTTGCTTTCATTTCACTAACATTTAAAGAAGGAAGGAAATAATTTAACAACATATTTAACTTGTCCTTGTACCTCTTACCACACTTAGCCACAGGTGAGTCAATCAACAGCAGCTCTAACCCTGATACCAGCATAACTCCTCACCCCTGACCCAGTGAGCAAAACTGAACATCATTACAGGAAGTCAATGTGGCTTTTTCCTGTCTCTCTGCTCTTTTTACAGTTACACAACAAAAACAATGTATTTATTACTCACAAAAATCCAAAAAATCTTTTCTACTAGCACACCTGGCAGTGAGTGAATGAGGTTGACTGGCAGCACTAAGACCATCCTCCTGAATTTCTTTAGACAGCTGTAGCAACTCAGAAAGGAGGTTGAGGAGATTGATCCTTTCATCTGTTTCATAGCAAACTGTCACAAGAGGGTGACAACTTTAACAAATGTGGAAGTTATATTCGGCAGTTTGAACAAAATGCAACAACGTAGAGTTTTTTGAGAAGTCTGAATTGCTTCATGTATATTTTGCACATTTTCTGTAACTTGCTGGTGGGGAGAGACCTTTCAGTAAGCTAAAACGAATAAAAAATGTCAGCAGTATTTTGACTGCATGCAAAGAAAGCAAGGCCATTGCAAGCCTTTAAATCACACATGAATCATACATGAATCAAAGTGACGCTTTTGATGGGTCAGATAGACTCAAGAAATTGTAACAGCACAATTTCAGCTGAAGAAAATTCAACTCCCGGAATTTCGCCGTCATTTAGGGTTTTATTTGAGTAAGCTGATGAGCGCCCCTCTTCAACAGCTAGTGTTTGTTTCCCTGATAGTATGATCCATCAGTTGAGTAGCCTGGATGGTTATGACTGGAACGGTCATCAGCTGGTTGGCAACGACACATAGGTGCCATAAATTTTTGGTCCTGAAATGAGTCTTGTTTTTGTTGAGAGCTTAGGCTCCTTCATACCTCCAATCTCCCAGGTGATTGGCGATGTCCTCTGCTGTCCTCATTGTAGAAACCCATGGACCATAAATATTTTTTTACTGCTGGCCCTGACAGAAGGGAAACTAGATCTATAACCCCTGCTGTATAGATTGTTATTTTGACTGTGCCCAGATCGGTGCCCATACTCAGGGGAGGGTTGGAAATACTGGCTTGTTGGTGAATGTGAATCTGTGTTATCCAACTTCAATTTCAGTGTCCTTAGTTCTTTACTGTGGTCCTTTACAGTACTAGTGAGGTCTTATATGGCAGTTTTCAGATGCGATTGCTCTCTGGAAACAGTATTTACAGAAGGGGATGTGCTTACCTCTTCTGCTGCAGCACCTGGCAATACTGGTGATATTAAACGAGCAATCTGACGAACCTGCTCTGCTCCTGCTGCAACCTCAAAAGCCTCCTGAAACACCTTCACCCCACTCTCATCACACTTGATCTGTATCCAGATCCTGATTCAAACCAGCAATGAAATGAAACATTTTCATCTACGCGTTCACATTTTTCTCAAAATCAGGGAATACCTCTTTCTCTAGACGACATATATCTGCCGCATAGACTTCCATCGCTTCATTTGCCAGCCGATAACGTGCACGTTTTGGTAGCCTCAAATGAACTTTGTTTGTCCTTGGGTAAATTGTCCCACACTATGAAAAGTTCAGGTGGTAACAGTGCAGGTAATTTTAGAGCAAGATTGGAATCTTTATAACAAGCTTGCTGAATAACCTCATACCAGAGAGCCCACATTGTGAACGATTCATGTTCGTTGTTGCAGAAGGGCGGAGGGAATGGGATTCCCCTGTTCAAAGCGATTGGAATGCGTTGGATGTCCCCAGTGCAATAGTGCCCAATACTAATGAAGTACATTTAAATTTTTGACCTTGAAGAAAGTAATACAAATTGTCTTGAAAGAATTATCTCATTGTGTTATTATTCTGGTATAATAGCAAATAGAAAAATGTTGGCAAACCTAATTTACACGTAAGACACTGTGAACAAATGCATATAGTTTTCTATAGTTTTTTATGTAAACTTCTGGTTTTAACTGTATCTGCTTTAAGATCATCATTTTCAGAAGGTATATTTAATCCGACAAAAATTAGAATTCATATGGCAATTTACGATTGTAGAAAGTCAGTAAATGACCTCTCTTTTAATCTCGTGAGTAATTATGAGCAAAGATGAAAGTTTTATTACCTTGGTGCGTCCCAGCTGGTACTGTCCCTCTTCAGCATCAACCATATTTAGCAGATTTACTGACATCTCTGGCTCTGACCAGTGGCTGGACTGTTGGGTCAGTAGAAATCCATACCTACAGCAGCATAGTAGGAAATGTTACTTAGATCCGTGATGCTGAACCCATTTTCCACAAAGTCTCCTTTCTTTCTTCCAAGTGAACCTGCCCCCCCAAACCCTTGTTGTTTCCTGTCTCTTCCAAAAACACACAAAACCATAATCTTTTTATAATAATAATAAGAAAAGTGATTACTTACAGCCAGCCAGCCAGTCAATCAAGTTTATTTGCATAGCACATTTCAACAATAAGGCAGTTCAAAGTGCTTCACTTCAAGAAAACAGTACCGAATGGACCGAAACGCATTAATCAACGCATCCTCCATGGGTCACGCTGATGACGCAGCCCATGGAAAAAAATGAGTTACACATCAAAATATTTGCACATCAATTAATCATTTATCAAAATATTCATAAATTAATTTCAAAATATTGTTAAATGACTAATTGATTATGTTTAAAAAGCAACTCTAATGGGATTTTAGTCTAGATTTAACTGTCCATTAAGGAATGGAAGGTGCCTTGGATCCTGTGTCTACCTGCACCATATGTAAGTGGCTTTCATTCCACACATGGGAACACACACAGACTTGGCGGTCAAGTGTGAGCCAATTGGAGGTTCACTTGTGGGCGTCAGCCGGTACATGCTTGAAGGAAACCTGGGCCTGACAGAGGGCTAAATGGAGGTCACTACACATCCTCAAGACTTCCATCCAGTATCTGTTCCCCCTTATTCCTATTGGGGTCGGAGGTGCTGGTGCCCATCTCCAGCTGAGTTCCAGGCGAGAGGCGGGGTCACCCTGGACAGGTCGCCAGTCTGTCGCAGGGCAACATAGAAACAAACAGGACAAACAACCATGCACACACACACTAGGGAGAATTTGGAAAGACCAATTAAGCTGACAGTCATGTTTTTGGACTGTGGGAGGAAGCTGGAGAACATGCAAACTCCGTGCAGAAAGACCCTGGGCCGGGAATCTGGAAGTTCTACATGGTCTTAGCATGGTCTTACATGCTGTTCCATTTATTCTCTTACACATAAGCATGTTCCATGTATTCTCTTACATGGAACAGCATGTAAGGGTTGTTAGGAAAATTATCTTAATTCATTTACTTTCATTTGAATGGTTATGTTTTCATATTATTCCGTGTGTTGTTTTCTTTCCCTTTCTTTTATTGTATATTCTTAACTGTCTTTTAGAGTTTTCTCTTGAAGGTTGGAAATGTCTCACACATTTCTGTGTTAAGGAGCCACAATGATCTCTATCTGTATCCTGAGAGTGGTCATCTTTGTGTCCCAACAATGGGACATCAACGGAAGACTTCCAGAACATCCTGTAGGATAGTGTATTGGTCAATTGTTTGCATGTCTGAGTGAGAAAGCCAACCTCTTTGTGTATTCACATGATAATAAAAGGCAGTTGGGGACTGAGAACCGACGGAGTTGACCTCAGACAGCGTTTGGCAGCGGTTCTCTCCGCGTCGAGCTCTTCTCCCCTTTTCTGCCGAAAAGTAATTTGTATCTTTGGTTGATTCTTGCAGATTGGGGAACAAAATAAACCCAACAAGGGTGTAAAGATCTTACGCCCTGATTATGTTTTTGATTATAACGCAATAAATTCAATGTCAAAATCAATAGAGTTTAATTCTTCAAATTCTTTCTTTGCTTTTGTATCGATCGTTTTTATACAAACAACTAACTGATATTTTAACAACCTCTTAGAAGATGAGGTTATGTGCCAGCTTGCAATCTCTGATACTCTGTATCAGAGATACGGCTGGAGGGGTAACCCCTTTACTCCTCCACATTGGGAATCATTGACTTAGCTCATGTACATAGCTCAAATGACTGCTTGGTCTAAGTCACTGATGTGGTATTTAAATATGTGGGAAAAACAAGGTTAATTTGCAAACCTAAGGCAAATCAAATTATTAAACAAATGTGAGTAAACCTAATCTGTACTTTTAGTTTGCACAATTTTGTCTGGCCAAAGTTCCCAGTTTAAATATGTCTTTCTGTTTCGTAGTTAAGGGTGTAGATATTTCTATTAAAGATGCCAAACAAGGTACAAACCAACCTCAACGGACAGTGTTAAATTTTTGGCTATGATCACAGGTGATGTGTGGTGATGGTGTATGTGCGTGTTAGCACCTCTGAATGAAGCATGAGTACTGAATCCTGACAGGGAAACCTTCTTTTCGGATGTGAATTGTCTCCAGTATGCCCGAGTGTCTCAGCTGAAGAGACATATAGTCTATATCAAAGATCCCAGGACGCTGACAAAAGACACATTAGATACAACACTCAGTCACATTTCAACAGTTCATCAACTCGGTTGCTTACAAAACTATAGCCATTTAATTATCAAACCTTTTGAATTGTATTTTTCTGCGCTTTGCTCAATTCAATTTACAAATACTTTATCAATGTTGATAAATTTTCTCTACTATAGTAAATATAATTCTAGATTACTAAATATGACATAAATATACATTTATGAAATCTATTGCATTATTAACAAGCAAAAGTGGACCACTGCCTACTGTAATGGAAGTTTGCTAGTCATTTTACATGAACAAGAAGAAGGACGAATACAAGCGATAACACAATAGCTTCCATGTTGTTTCCCATGTGAGATGTAACAGATGTTTTTTAGATTTAGCATTTTCACAGTGTTGAATTAAAAAGTCATAAAAATTAAATGACCTGAAAACAAAAGTTGAGTTACTTTACAAAATTAGGCTTGGCACATCTATATCCAGTTATAAGGCATGTATAACTGCCTTACATTTTTATTGTACATTTTTATTGTACAGCAGAAGCTAAAGGAAATGTTTTGTAAAATAGTCATTTTTACCTTCACAAAATTTGGCTTCAGACAACAGATGATGGTTGTGTTGCTCCTAAGAGTGTAAAAAGAACATTTGGATTAGTCTCTCAGGTAGAAGGATAACCTTTAAATCAAGATAAAGAGTATTATCTGACCCTGAACTTAATCTTTTCTTAGGGATTGCTAAATTTTTTCTAAATTAAAATTGAGGAAACATAAATAATTCCTGCATCTATTTAAAATTTACTTACTCACAGTTGGTATGAAAAGTGTTCAGACCCGGTTTCATTGTAGCAATTTGCTAAAAACAAAAAAGTTAATGTTATTTCTCATGAACATACACTCAGCATCCCATCTTGACAGAAAAAACTAAAGTGTAAAAATCTTTGCAAATTTTTTCAAAAACAAAATAGTCTTAGTTATTCAGACTCTTTGCTCAGTATTGAGTAGAAACACCCTTTTAAGCAAGTGCAGCCATGAGTCTTCAGGGGAATGATGCAACAAGTTTTTCACACCAGAATATGGGGATCCTCAGCCATTCTTCAGTGCAGATCCGCTCCAGTTTCATTAGGTTGAATGGTGAATGTTGGTGGAGCCATGATCAGGTCTCTCCAGAGATGACCAGTTGGATTTAGGTCAGGGATTTGGCTGGGCCAGTCAGGAATGGTCAGAGTTATTTTGAAGCCACTCCTTTGTTATTTTAGCTGTGTGCTTTGGATCATTGTCTTGTTGGAAGGTGAAGCTTTGGCCCATTTGAGGTCCTGAGCTCTCTAGAAGAGGTTTTCTTTCAGGACATCTTTGTACTTGGCTGCATTCATATTTCAATTGCAACCAGTCAGAAAATCAGAAGAAATGGACACCATGTGAGTTAAATATGAATGTCACAGCAAAGAGTCATGAGATATTTTAGTTTTTCTTTTTTTAATATATTTTTAGACATTTCTACATTTTTCAAGATGATATGCTAAATGTACATTCATAAGAAATAATATGAACATTTTTGATTTTAGCAAATGCCTCCAATAAAATAGAGTGAAAAATTTAAACGGATTCTGTACCCACTGTATGAAAGCAGAAATTAAGTTCTGTATCACCCTGTCTATTATTTGCAACATCTGAATTACTTCAAAGGAACTTCTCTTTGCAGGAAGCAGGATGCAGAGGATTCCATGGACACAGCAACAATTGACCCAGCTCAAGCATAAGCAAGGCTGTCACTCTGCTGTGCTATTTGAGTGATCCCCCACCTACCTGAGCTACACATCCGGTGTCAGAGAGCAAAAGTGTTATATATACCGACATTCTGAAGAAATCCTGGATACCATTAGATCACATCCCAATGCTGAAAGACTCATCATTTTTGTAGGCGTAATATCCCCAAACATCAGTCTGAACTCATGACACAGGATTTCAGCCATCTACTCAACACTGTTATATGGTTCCAATTTTAAGTTTTATCTCTGACCCACCTTGGAGTATTAGAAAATGTTGTTTTGTTGGCTTCTTACAGGTTTTTCTGTAAGAAGCCAACATGGATCCTCATTATCTTCCAGCCCACAGGTGATCAGCCCAATTTCTTTGCTGCCAGAAACTCAATAGAATGTGACTCTCCCAAATGAAACTGCTTGAAATCTGAGACACAACTGTTTTGCCAATAAATTGTAAACCAATCCCCCAATTAGGAAAGGGAGGGACTTTGTGTCACTATATGTGTGTTGGAATTCCTGTTAATAAAGGAGAAACTTTGCATCTTGCAGGTAAGCTGATTGTGATTACTCCATCAGCTTGAGTATTTTAAACAATTAAGGACAATAGGCAGCTAATTTGTGCTTGGCACAAATCCAGAGGTGAAGGACAGGCACTTGGCTTGGGGCCAAAGTGATCTGGTTGAGGACTAGCTTCTTTGCTATTTTAAATATTATACACCTCTGGCAGTACAATAGGACACTTCAACATGCTGCTCAGCCCAAGCACCAGGGATGTCTTCTATTTACAGCCACGAAAACTTCGATTTTTGTTCTGCATGGGAGACATTTTTGGGGGGTTGATGACCTACATTTGAACAAGTCAGGAAACCGCATTCTAACAATAATGGCCTGTACTTTTTATCAAGTCCAGAGGACCAAAAATCACTTCACACTACATGCAGTCATTCACTCATTAACACACACATTCACACACTGATGATGGCAAGCCACTGGATTGTAGCCACAGCTGGGGCATTCTGGAACTATGGACTAGGAAATCTAACACAAAAGAATGATTAGACATAAAGAACATGATCAAATTAGAGTGACTTAAAAAAGAACTGAACAACAACTGAGCCTCTGCCCCCATTTCATCCAGGATGCCCCCAGGTGCCCTTTTTTGAGTTGAGTTAAGCCTCTGTTGCACTTATTACAAACTGGTCAGGAAACAGAAAAGCCTATCACTAGCAGTAGTAATTCATAAATGAAATCTTCCTATTGCTCTATTGCTTCACATAGATCTCTACAGTGTCATTTAACAGCAGGGGAGAGTCCTTGATCCTGGAGACTATCTACTTCCTCAAACTAGAACTTATCTGCCCTATTTTGCATCAAAAATGTCCCCCTTTCCTCAATAATAGATAAATGGCAAAACCATCTATATTGGGCACCACGTAGATAGAATCAAGAATTCACATTTATAGTGTAATCAAGCCTTTCTTCTCTGACCAGAAGGAAGCCAGAATTCACTGTTAGTCAAGGCAGACTTGACAGACTCCTTTGACTCTATTTCTGTTCTCACATTGCAAGGTTTTAATAAATTTCTTATTTCTTCTCACTCAGACTTTAAAGTATTTTTTCCATGACAGAAGTCATCTACCAACACAGCTATATGGTATCTTACCTATTTTAATTTGTTTGTATTACTAAAATTGTATGCTCTGTTTGTATACAATAAAGCATTTTGTGGTTTCATGAACATTCACCTTATGCTGTGAATGTTCTGTGGTTGCTGCCTCCACATTGAAAAAAGAAAATAGCTGAACCAACTTAACTGAATTGCTTTAAGTGGTAAGTTTACCCAATTTACCACTAAGTTTATCCAACTCAGTTTACTAAGTTTATCCAACTCAATATATTATAACCATCCAGCTTATTATTAGAGTGCTCTCTCGAAAGTGTATTTGTGCTATAGTTCATCTGATGGCTTATTTACATTAACCTAACTTAATTCTTTAGCTTCAGTTGTGAAAACTTAATTTTATATGTTCAATAAACTTAAAAGTTACACATTTTTAACTTTTAACATTTTACTTTGACTTTATTTGAAACAATTAAGTTTCAAATGCCATGAACATATTCTACGTCTGAAATGATGATGCAAGCTTCAACAGGGAGAGATCGTGTACCAACCTGGTGCTGTGGTGGCGCAGCAATAAACATAGGGAGACTTAGTCCTCGACGGGGCCATCTTATGATCGATTTCTGGGATGATGTTAATGTCAAGTTGGCAAGAGCAAGTGGGCTCTCCTCTGCCCAGTCTTCTCATTGAGAAAATTTGATCAATTGCATTGATCCATTATTTGTAGTTTCAGAAAATGTGCAAAGAAAGGCTCCAAAAAAGCAGCACAAAGACAGAGCAAGCAAGGTGGGAATGAGTAGGGAAGGAAGCAGAGGAAAAAAGGGTCTGCCTTCACTGAGAGCTAGAGAGAAAGTAAACTAAGTAAGTAAAACTTTGAGTAAGACTGACTTAAATTTGTTAAGTTAAACCAACTTAATAAGTTCAGTTAGATAAACTTAATTTAATTCTTTAAAATTGAAGCAGTTCAATTAAGTTGGTTAAACTTTTCTTTTTTCAGTGTACAGGATCTTTGAAAAACTAAAATAACATGTTAAAACATACATTTAAAATCTAGCTCTAGTTTACAGTGTAAGTGATAATGTAATTTTAGATATTTTAGTTTTTTAGTTTGGAACACCTTAAAAGTTTGAGCTGACTTTCTGTATAATTTAGTCAGAGTTTTAATCATTCATTAAGTGGATAAAATTATTTGTGTAAAAGTGGCAAATCACACTTAATGAATTAAGTCATAAAAAAATGTAAATTGAGTTGGATAACAAAGAATTGGGTTCGATGAGCATAATATACTGAGTTAGATTAACATAATATCAATACTCAATATTTTCAAGTCATTCAAAGTAAAAAGTTCATTTAAGTTAAAGATTTGTAACTTTTAAGATAATTGATCAGAAAAAGTAAGTCGTTATCATTAAACCAAAAGAATTAAGTGATATTAATGTAAATAAGTCTACCACATGAACTACAGCCAAAATCTACCAAGGTTCAGAAACATGGTAGACAGTGTAGGAGATCAAAAATTATATTTATCCTGAGTAGAAGTAAATGTTTGATGGATGTCTTTTGATTACTTTCCTTCTTCTTTATTTGTTTTCCAAAAACTTGCATCTTGCTAGTTTATTTACTGATTCAGGGTTTACCAAGTTCAAATTGGAACAAATGGAATTGGTATGCAGATATGTGAACTTTAACCTGAGCCAGATACTTCAATAATCCAAACTGAATTTGAATTATAAGCTTTCTTTTCTCTGTATTGTGCCCTGAAATGACTTTATTTGGCATAAAGACAGTAGAAATGAACTGATTTAAAGTGATTTCTACCTTCCCATACGGGTGGTGAGTTCAGTGAGGGACTGAAGGAAGTGTGAAGCAGCAGTTGGGGGTGGCTGACGAAGATGCTTCATCTTCCAACACAGTTCCTTCTGTTGGATGTACCTATCTTGAAGCTTCTGGAACAATTCAGAAATCATCTAAATGAACATGAAAAGAAAAGCAATGTGATTATCTGGAACATCATTCATGACCATAACTGGTTATATGCACAAAAAAGCTGTTATCTTAGAAGACATTTGTAATATATTGTTGGTGTGATGATAGAGGTTCACCCAGAAATCTGAAGATTGCTGCTTTGATACCCACTTCATCTGGCTGTGTTTTGTGTCTTTGGGTGTAACACTTTGCCCACATTGCCTGCTGATGTTGGTCAGAAAGGACGACGGCATGAAATAGCAGCTGCTCTTCTATCAGACTGCCCAATGGTAGATGTAGCTACCATCCACTATCTTGTAAGTCATCAGAGTGTGAATGTGTGCATAAATGAGAATTACTGATTCTGGAGTTTTTTGAGAACCATTAGAGGATTGAAAGCACTATGTAAGTCTGATGTCATTATAAGTAAAACATTTCTAAAATACCTGTAGTTATAATGGTATTTAATCCAATTAAAGAAGCTAAAGTTGGCACACATCTCTTAGAAACATGGTATACTGTACGTCTTCAAGGTAGTGCAATGTTTGTTTAAAGGTGAGGTTCCTCATTCAAATACCATCCTGGAATGCTTCTGCATCAAGTTTGCATGTTCTCTTCAAGCTTAACCTGATTCTTGCTGGGTTACTCCGATTTCCTCACACACTCCAAAAATACGACTGTTAGTAGTGACAGGTTATCTGAAACCAGACGTGTATCAAGTAAAGAGGAGGCGTGTCAGACGAAGCCCTGTTTTGATGCTTGTCATCCTGCTGAAAACCACGTGACCGGGAACAAACAATGTCTCATTTTGTGTGTTGGTTTTCAAAATGAAAGCGTGATGAACTGTGCTGCTTCATGGCATGAGTTGTTGTATTTGATCACGCATCAGAGGAGTATTTGTCTTCAGAGGTGGCCGAAATAAAAGGAACCTTTTATAGTTCATGTGTATGAACAATTTTGATGATAGCACTCATCAAAATGAGTGCTATCATTTTGATAGCACTCATTTTGATGAGTGATAGCATCATTTTGATGCTATCACTCATCAAAGTGAGTCATAAAAAAATTTACATTTTTTTATGACTCATTTTGATGAGTGCTATCACTCATCAAAATGAGTCATAAAAAAATGTAAATTGTTACATTTAGGGTTAGGGTTAGGAACACAAAAAAAATGACAGAACCCAAAACAAAATATGACAAGATATGACAATTAACATTTCTGTATGAGGAATATTATGTCTGTGACAGACTGGCGACCTGTCCAGGGTGACCCTGCCTCTCGCCTGGAACGCAGCTGGGGATGACACCAGCACCTCCCGAACCCCGTGAGGGAGAAGGGTGACCGGAAAATGGAATATTATGAGTAATATGAATACTGTGTTAGTTGGTTCACCTTTATCTGGCTTCTTGCAAAAAGCTCTACAATTTCTGTCCTGAACTGGTCTTGATTCTTATTGAGGAAATTCTGGACCTGCCAAAAGATGGTGGCAGCTCTTTGTTCCAGTTTTTTACACGTACAAATTAGTTGTTTAACATCAAAAGTGGGAAATACAATACCTGATATGTGACAGGTCCTGCGTAGTGATGAATAGTGAAGACCGGTATTGGGTTCTTGGGTTTGATATAGAAGGGGTTGGTTGCATGGTGGTAATGGCATTTCTGAAGAAAGGTGTGGTCAGTAGCCTATAAAACCCCAAAGAAGTAATCAAGTTTCACCGAAGTAAAAGCTAATTTTTATTTTTATTTTTATTTACATACACAACCACACACACACAATTTGCTTTTCCTCAATGCCCGGCATTAATTCTGAAAAAATGTTTTGGGTTTTTTGGTTTGTCAGGATTACAAAAATTATTTCTGAGTTAAATACCAAAACAATGAGAAGGGACTTTTACAATGAATTTGTTTTTAAATATTTACATACAGCAAAAAAAACATTGTGCTTTCAACACTTTTCAGAAAGCCCATATATATATATGTTTATATATATACACACACACACACACACACACACACACACACACACACACACACACACACACACACACACACACACACACACACACACACACACACACACACACGTGTGCATTGTGAATGAACCTAAAATAGTTGATGAAGCTATGACAATATTAGGCTTTGATATTAGACTGTGTTTGGTAGAGCATAGCTCTCTGGTTCGGCTGCCATTTTGGATTGTGGATCAAGGCAACACTTCAAACAGACTGATTCTTTGTGTTACATAATTGAAAACTCAAAAGAAGAAAAAGTTCTTAAAGAAAGGATTCTGGATCTCCAGAAGTCTGACATTATATGATGTCTGAAGATGCCATGTTTATCTATTCAAACAATCATATGCAACTCTAAGCAGTGTGGCAAAGACCAGTATTCTAACTATTCAGAAGGAGAGAGATGTAGTGTCCCATAGTTCTGTGTTTGTATGCAGTTTCTTAGACTAATTAAGAAAATAACTTTGTATGTGGATGTTCGCACCTGTGGGATGCATGTTTGATCGTCCAATATACGGAGGATGCCATGTGGTCTGGAGGAGATCAATTCCATACAGGAGTGAAAGTTCTCAAATTGCACGGGATGCCAAGGAATCTGCTCTTTACTGTACTCCTCCTGCAAGACACACACAATGCGCCATACAGTTCAATTAGTGAGATAGACAGTACGAGAAGTAGTTGATTTTAATTTTTCTGGTTTACCTGTTCCTGAGAAAGTAGAGTTTTGTTGAGAAAATTCTGCAACTGCTCATTGGCAAAGTTGATACACAGTTGCTCAAAGCTGTTCACTTCAAGATCCTTCACAAATGGCAAAAAAAGAGATTTAAACCTACATCATTCCCAAAAATGATGGGAATGATGTATCTGAAGGTCCCAGGGTTAGAAAGTTGATTACCAACCTCAAAGCCATAAATGTCTACGACACCAACAGTGCTGTCCATCTCTGTTGGGCTTAGCCAGTCATTAATTTTCTCCAACAACCAGTCAAACAACACTGAATACAAAGCTTTGGCAATTGCATTCCTAGAGAGGAAAGGAAAACATTATAAACCTGCTGGCCAGCCAGAATTTCCCATTTTCATCATGAAGTAAACCCAAAACAGCAACAGCAACAGTTGGGCTTCATATCAACTGTATATGCCCACATGCATATCTGCCAATTTACAATTATTAGGCCCAAGCAGTGAAGGCCTATTGCTGGAAAGGCCTGTTGTATTTCTAGGATTTCTTCCCTTACAAAAAAATTTGATTTACATGGGAGTTTTTGTAAGAGTTATTCTTTTCTGCTGAAAAACAGAAATTTGAGGGCCTAAACATATTCAGTGGATATGAATCACCAAACTTCACCCAAAATTGTTCCCCATCTGAAATGCAACTTTTGTAATGTGATCAAAAAATCCATTAAACTAAATGGAATTAACTTAATGGCCAAACTGTTCTACAGTGTCAGATAGACTGTACATTGTAGAGGTCTTAAACTTGACAGGAAAGTAGATCCCCTTCAAGTCAAGAAAAAACGTCTTTGAAGGTATGTCCTAAAATGTACAGGGAGGCGGGTCAAAGGACAAATTTTGGCTATTTTTCACATTTATACATCTCAAACTTTACCACATTCCAAGTGAATACGAGCCAAAAGCTTCATCTCTCAGTATGCTTGTAAGAGATTCAAATTTTAAGTTTGTGAGCATTTTCTGAGTCAAGTGGCGTACTCACCAAAGCAAACAAAATGCTGATACCTTTCACCCAGAAAGACTGAATTGCACTAAACTTTGTATGAGTCATTTCTGTTCAACCAAACTTGTAAACTGAAGAGAACATTTTGAACAACTATTTCAGTGTTGAAAAGTAAAATGTGCTCTGATGACAATATTTCTTTAATGTATGTAGATTAACAAATATATGCAGGCAGAAATAAAATGCTGAAATCAGCTAAAAAATATGTTTTTGCTGTGGAAAAGCCTTGACCAAAGACCTTATTTGCATATAACTTATAATGTCAAAATGTCTTTGCTATTTAGTTTATGTACAATTAACCAAGAATGCATCAAGTTATATTTAGGTTTGTAATACTTCACACAAACCTAAAATATAACTGAAGTTATATTGCAACATATAACTTCAGTTTTATATGTTGCAATAGTTTATTCTGTTGAGGCAATTGGTTTGCACAGATTTAAGTGAACACAACTTATTTTTCTTGATACTGTAGCATGCGTTATGTGATGAAGATTCTGGAGAGACTGACCTGAGCCCATCCCAGGACTCAGGTATAGTAAGTACTGGAGGTCCTGACTTCACCACTTAGGAGTTAAAGATGCTGTAATCTACCAGTGGCAAAAAGCTATGTTTTATTTGAATGGTGGAGAAAATGCTGTGAGGATCACATTCTTTGATTTCTCCAGTGCTTTTAACACCATTCAGCTGCTGCTGCTGGATAACAAACTGTGGGTTGTGGGTATCAAGAGCTCAGTGATCACAGATGGCTGACTACTTGACAAGCAGGGCAGTTTCTCCCTCTGGAAAGGGCTCTGTCTGATATGGTGGTCAGCAATACAGGGCCTTCTCAGGGGGCTTTGCTTTTTGTCTGACTTTTTCTCTCTATCTTACACATGACTGACTTCCAGTACAACACAGAGTAATGCCGACTACAAAAGTTCTAAGATGACTCAGCTGTCCTATGGGGTATTAGATGGGAAGAGTAGGGCAAATACTCTTCTCACTGTACTAACTGATAGAAAACTTGTTGGATTGGACTGAACTGAACCACCTGAAGCTGAATATGAGCAAGACTGGAGAGATAGACTTCACAGCCACAGGGATTAGGGGAAGTAAGTGGAGGTGATGGAACACTATAAATATCTGGATGTTGTCATGACTTCAGCCTTTCTGCTCCACCTTCTGCGCTGATTGCTCATCACTCTCACCTGCACTGTGCTGCTCCCTATTTATACAGCTGATTTTCACCAGCTTAGTGCGAGATCGTCTGTTGCTCTAGTCACAGCTTTCAAGCCATTGTTTCAAGTCATGAGGAGTTTTCTGGTTTACTGATCCTGCCTGTTTTTGACCTTAGATTCTGCCTTGTCCTTCGGCTGCTGAAAGTATTCTGATCTCCTGCCTGTCGCCGACCTGCCTCCTGCTTGCTGTTTCTGGATTTTCTGTGCCTGTGGCTCTCCTGTGCATGACCCTGGATCGTCTCTCTACTCCGTCTCTGGTTTGTGGACTTTGCCCCTGTGGTCCGTTTGTTCCCTGAGCCCCCAAGACTTTCTGTTGTCCTTTCATCCTACTTCCTACCCCCGACTGGATTCCTGTCCCTTGTGGATTCCTCCTCCCTTAACTGCTCGTTTATCCCACCCCGTTCAGTCCCGTCTAAAATATTATTTTTGTCATTAAAACTTCTGATTTAACTACTCCTGTGTTGGCTGCGTTTTGGGTTCTGGCCTAGTTTGCTTACCATTACAAATGTCTAACACTAAGACTGTGTACATGAAAGAAATAAGGAGACTCTACTTTGAAAGGAAGGTTCAACATTTTTAATGTCTGCAACAAGATATTGGAGATCTATCAGTCTGTTATCTGTAGCATCATCATTTTCACAGCTGCTTTTTGGGGGGAATCTTCCTTGCCATCAATTGATGTTACATTTGTTGTGGGGGCAGAGGCTGTCTAAAGACTAATATGGCCCAACAAAAGAAGATCACAGTTTTCTTAGTGACAAATAAGGGAGTGAGAACCATCTGAACTGAAATGTTTCGGTGGTGAAGTCATGTAAGTTGCCCAACAAACTAAAGGGATAGATTCAATATTGAAGATGATTTAAAGTCTAAATATGGCAGGGGTAAAAATTATTTTGTGCCTTACTACATGTATAATTGCTTGTAGGGAAGTCCTTACTTAGTCCAGCTCACAACTGTCAATTCTACAGTAGAATTGAGAACACTAACTGACATGACTCTGGGCCTGCTGCTGCTCTGCCAAGGCAGGAAATGAGTTAGACTCATTAGTCACCTTGATTCTATGGCACTTTCCACAGACAGGGGGCAGTAGATGCGATCATAGCTGGTTTCCTAAAACAAAAACAAACTGTTTGCACATGCATATCAAGGTGGGTGTAATTGCTTAACAACAAGCTACTTACTGTGACTTTGTGAGTAATTACTGTTTGAAGGGTCTCACAAGAAACCTGCAACAAGGCCCCAACCCTTCTGGCCTCTGCCTCACTAAAGATACGAGCCACCTCAAATGACTCACTCTGAAACAGTACCAACAAAGATATGATATGAATGTCTTGCAACTCATTCTGACTGTCTTATTTAAAGACACATACCTCATATGAGCTAAAACAGATGTTACCAAGATGCAGAATAGAGGAGAGGATGGCCCAGATGTTGGAGATTTGATTTGCATGTAGGCCAATAGTCTCCAAACATTTAAGCAAAAGTTGAAAGTCTTGTTTTTCCTTTTTTGTTTTCAAAGCACAGGCACCACCCTGCATGGTATAAGAAAAGTTGAAACATTTATTTAAAAAAATCTAGATAAAAAAATAAAACACAAAAAAGAATTGATTTGTTCTTGGTCTAATTTACTTGATTTAGGTAGTAATAAGTCTCAGGCCCCTGCAAGTACAGCTTCTCTTTGTCCCAGTCGTTCATACCTTCCAGCAGTTCATAGAACACATGATAGTTCCTCTCCTTTTTGGCCTAAATGATAAATTAGACAATAATTTAATTTTATTTGAATGTGCTGATTTATAGTCACTCATAAGGCACAAGAGACAAAGCAAAAATTTCATTCCATCATTTGTAAAATGCTGTTTCACTATGTTCACTACAGTCAAATTAATTCTAGTTTAAAGCTGCACCAAACTCACTGTGATTGATCCTTGCCTAGTTCCCCCAAGAATATTGAATGAACCAGCCCCCAAGCCATGCTTCGACTGACAATCATGAAATTGAATACACATATAAATTGTGACAGGACCTCAGAAAAAGTTTCCGGGCGCCATGGTCTATACTCCCACGGAAGTTGGCCATTTTGGATCAATGTCACCATGTTCCATGTGTAACAATGTCTGTTACACATGTTATATCGGAACAAACTTCTGCCACAGCTTTTAACTTACAGACTTATTCAGCAAAGTCTTGAGGCATGAAAGGTCAATAGCTATTGAAATGTTTTTTGTACATCAAAGTGTGTGGGCGTGGCCAACCCTCAAAACCTGCCATTCACCATGAAACATCAAAGTGGAATAACTTCCCTGCATAAGCTCCTGGCTTCATCAAACTTTCCTTATGTCATCATGGGTCTAAGCTCATCACATTCTGATGGTCAATTGGTGACATCACCTCAGCCAGACCCCCTTTCAACAGGAAGTCATCTGTTTTCCAACTAGTTCTCTACCTTTTACTGTATGGTCCATGCAGATTTCAACCTATGTTTAATGAAAAAGAATAACATGAAGGTAAATCCTTCTCTCAACACTGACTGCTGGCTGGAGCATGTGGACGTGGTTGAATGGCAAATTACAGTCCCTTGCTGTTTGCCTATGGTTGTCTCTAAATCACACATGAATCATCTGATTTGCACCAAAGTTCACATGATTTACCGGAATGTGAGAGAGCATTGACGATGGTGAGTGGGTCACAATGAGGCCAGAGTGGCGGTGAACTGTGAGGGCCCCAATGATGCTTGCAGCTTTAATATGTGCTTTCTTTCTGGAGGCAATATGCACAGGCTTCTGTTTCAGCATAATGTTGACTGATAATCCCTCTATGCAAGATTATAACATAAAAATACTGAGCAGTATTTTTACGTTCAGTAAAAAAATACTTTTCTGATTAGAAAAATTTTGATTTTTCTAATCAGTATTAGAAAAATGGAACTCAATTTGTGGAAATGGAAGTGTGGCTAATGAAAGACATACTCTGAACATTCACACAGAACTAAAGTTGCTTTAAAGTGGCTGGATTATTTGAAGTAAGCCAGAATTAAAGATGTATAACTATTATATACATAAATCTATTTATTAATATTCAGTGATTTGGCAGAGACAGACGTCCATCTCCAACCCTTCTCTGTTGGACCCTTCCTTCCAAGAAATGTTGGCATCATTATTGCTTCCTATGGCTCAAAAAATCTGGTTGCAGTCCTTCAGTAGAAAAATTGACAACAACAAAAAAAAACTCTAGAATGCTGTTCTCACTTAAAAACTCTTTCCAATGACAAAAACAAATTTTCCTGAACCCTTTGAAAGAATTGGCAACATTTCAATAGACATGTAATTAGCCAGGGCAGTGTGATCAATGCCAGATTTCTTAAGCAGTAGCTGCACCACAGCATGCTTAAAATGAGCAAGAATCATACCAGCGGGCAGACTCCAATTAATAATGGCAAGAACTGACTGTCCTAACCCTTTACCAGAAAGTAATTCTTTACAAAATGTAGAGTAACAGAATCACAGGGAGTCCTGAGCATGTAATGTACCCAAAGCATCCTCTAATAATGAAAAAACAACACATTCAAGCCATGTAAAAACAGCAGCGCAAGGGACCGAAACAGAGGGGTCAGATTCAGGAGCTGTGAGAAAAGCTCTTGTGATGGTAATTTTTTAAATCTTAAAAATATACAATGTACAGTTCAGGAGATACCTCCAAATAAGCATTCTTTGGAATCTTATTCAGTCAGTATTGTTAAACATCAAATGTGAGTTTATGGCCATTGGAGGAAAATGGCAAGCTTTTATTATCCTCTTAGGTTTAGTTATAAATATGACATTGATAAGTGTCTGACTATGTCTTGCCATATGGGTTGAACCCTTTTTAGGATATTGTGAAAGTCAAACTGAATCTATATACTCATGAAATGTGAAATGAGAAAACAGTTCCATAGTTTCTTATTTTTAGAATTATTGACATATATTGCAATAATGCATTATATGTACGCATATAAACGTAACAACTGACTAGTGATTAGAATTCAGTAAGATAAATCTACAATCTTTCAATCTGTGCCAAACTTACCTAGATGTATACACCCCTCAGAAATAAAGAGGTTTGAAGTAGTACTAAGAGTGAAAATCTAGAATATATATTCTATGCATTAAAATCTTTTCTGGCATTTTCAAGACCAACACCTCTGACATATACAATTTCTGTCAATAATGTTTTTTAGACAAAGCACTCAGTGAACTTACCTGAAAGACAACCCGGGACTTCTCCAAGAGATAGTGAGACAGTGAGGATCCTACAACAACTCCACTGTCAACCAGGAGACCAAATTAAAAAATAGCTGCAATCAATTTTACCAATCTCTCATCTCTCATGATAAAAGATCAATCTACAAATATTCCTGGATTAAGTAATAATTGGTGGACTTACTGGAGTATGTGAATGTGAAGATACTTGCCAAATCGGCTGGAATTGTTGTTCAGGATGGTCTTGGCATTCCCAAAGCTTTCCAAGATGGGAAAGACTTCCATCGGCTAATTAAGAAATGAATACACGTGCACATGAAAGCAAAAATGGTAATAGATTTTTTTTTCAACTTTGAATTACCTGTCTTAGATTGCCATTTCCGTCCTGACACATTGAGCTGAGGTAATGGACTATATGCTTCATAGCTTCAGTCTTTCCAGAACCACTCTGTCCACTGAATAAGAAGAAATGTATTGGACAAATTATCATAGAAAAACTGAGGAGAAATAGCTTCCTAAACTAAAGAGACTCTTCGAAATCTTCAAAGAAATATTAGAACTTAATCTATAAAAGTATCAATCATTTTTCAAAATACCTAATATTGGAGTTAAGAGATGACAGACTCTGTTTTTGATAACAGAGCCTATCATGACTGCTCGGGCTAATGAGCAATGATGATGGATAAACAGTTTTTCTGTAAAGGTAAGTTGTTTGTCCATACTAGGCAGGACATACAGGAGCTTGATTGACAGCTCTGAGACCCTCTTCCTGGCTCTCATTGGTTGCGTTTGACCAGGAGCTATGTATTTCTTCAAATGGAAATGGAAGCACTGGAAGGACCTCTATCTTTTTAGTTGATCTGTCTCATACCAAACTGTGACAACATAGTGACAGTTTTCAGGTCAAAATATTTATATTTTCAATAATAATAATAATAAATACATACTGTAGCTTTAAGGCAGATGTTTGGACACAAAATCCGGTCATAAATATTTTGTGCTAGTAAATCAAATTGTATGAACTGAGTTTTGTAACCCTGCATAGTAAGATGGAAGTATTTCAGTTTTGTCCATGCATAACTTGGAATATGTCTGTGAAAAATGCATGCGATATGAATGTTGTGCCTGTGAATTAGAATACAGAGTTGTTAATAAATTATGCCATCTTGTAAAACCAGGACCACAGAGGTCCTCGAAGGGGCAGGGACTCAAAGTTAAAAAAGGGTCTGAAGAAGTAAAGCACAACCCACAAATAGAAATATGTGGGTTGTCCACCACCACTGCGGGGTGGCCTCACGTCGAGGCTTTAGACCTCGACGTGACCGTCGCAGGTTCGATTCCCGGCCTGCCAACCTTTGCCGCATGTCTTGCCCTTCTCTCATTACCCACTTTCCTGCCCATTAAATAAAGGCCACTACAGCCAATAAAATCAAAAAAAAAAAAAAAAAAGTTAAAACATGTTTTTTTTCATACTATGTATGATCTAAAAACTCTGTGCAATAGCTCATAAATCATAAATCAAGACTATCATATTTAAGTATTTGTAATAAATATTAAATATGTATTTTATTGTTTTGAGCTTTATAAATTATTTGGAAAACAAACATTTAATAAACATGCGGTTTTCTGAAAATTATGTTTTCAAACTATAATTTGAAAACATATTACAACATAGAATAATGTCCACTTTCATGTTTCACATGTTGCTTTCACTCAAATATTGCTTTTTAAAAGGTCTATGTGATCCATCGATCCATCCATCCATCCATCCATCCATCCATCGATCCATCCATCCATCCATCCATCCATCCATCCATCCATCCATCCATCCATCCATCCATCCATCCATCCATCCATCCATCCATCCATCCATCCATCCATCCATCCATCCATCTTCTGACATCTTTATCTTCTGACATCTTTGTCCCTAGTGGGGTTGGGAGGGGTGCTGGTGCCTATCTCTTATTAGATTTTCAACAGAAACATGAACTGGGTAAGAAATGATGGCACTGGCACTAAAAGAAAATTTACTATATCATACTGCATGACCTGGAAGCATTACTTTCTCCACCTTGGACTTTGAACAGTATGTTGTATTGAATGAAAATGTATTAAGCACACTGTTTTTTGCATTGTCTTGTTGACATAGTGGTGCAGTTGGTAGCACTATTTATTGCCTTGCAGCAAGAAGGTCCTTGGTTTGATTCCTGGCTCGATGTCTTTTTTGCATGAACTTTGCATGTTCACCCTGTGCATGGCAGGTTCTCTCCTGGTACTCCGGCTTCCTCCCATGACTCATAAGTTAATTGGTTTCTGTAAATTCTTCTTAGGTGTGTGTGTGTCCATGATTGTTTGTCCTGTCTGTCTCTGTGTTGCCTCGCAATGGCCTGGCGACCTGTCCAGAGTGCACCCCAGCTCTCACCTGAAATGTCTCACTGAAGACATGACCTATCTACACTCCCCCAAAGGGTTGTCCACTCACTGACACAGGTTGTTTGTGAAGTTTGACACCACGTGCTGCTCATAGGTACTGCATTGGACAGTCTTGAGTCTCCAAGTAAAATAGCTGGTGTTGGTCTCCGGATCATCACAAACAAAAAACATAACGATGAAAAATGTAACAAAGGAATACATTTTTACTACAATATATTTCTTGTAGTATACAAGGAATAAATTGTATACCACAATGTATTACAATACATTGCCTCAATTACAAAGATGTGGAGTTTCAGAGATATTAACACTTACATAACAAATTTTGAAGCATGAATTCTGGGAGCGAGGGAGAGGTCAGGAAGTGGGAAAGACCGATGCTGATGACTCAACCAAACTCAACCAATTCTCAACCAAACTGAGAATTGGTTGAGAATTCAACCAATTCTTAAAATATCATTTTTCAAGATATATTAAGATATCTAGAAAAATGGCAATGAAAGGATTAAAACATCCTGTAAAATGCATATGAGAAGGCACAACAACTGGTATAATGACAACATACCGAACATTATGTCTGGAAACTAATGCTTTCAACATAAAAAAATCCTTTTACAGTTTTTCAAAGAAAAAGAATCAGGATCAGAAAAGTTGATAAGTCTGACAAATATTTATGTACACATTCAAGATCATAAAAAATTTGTCAAGACTATTACAAATCTACCTAAATTAGCCAAGAATTTGACTTAATGTTCACCTGCTCAATTTTCTTCTCCAACACTTAATATTCAGCATGCTCAACTAAAAGTGCAATCACCAAGCAATGTGCAAAGCATGACATCTATCATACCAGTTGGTGTCAGATAGTTATATAAGCCATCTCAGAAAAAAAATTACTTACCAAGCGGGGTGGACAACTCAGACATGTGGAAAGTAAATTGTTCTGAAATGGCTTGATTAGATCATTCACACACCTGCTAAATGAATTGAATTTCTGACCATAATATTTACATTATATTGTGCATGAATAATATATGATACATTTATCAGCTAGTTGATTTATCTTGACTTTGGGGGATTGCTGATTGGCCGATACTTGTATGTGAAGCTAGTTGTAGCCACACAATTTATCTATCTCAGCAAAGGTTTAAAAATCACCCACTGTCTTCTGTTGCTTTTCCATGAAAAGTTTGACTAACAGATCAACCCATCACTTCATGTCTACATGTTTGCAGGTAACAATAGTGACCCCATCGTTGCCAACGCAGAAACTTTCTTGCTATATGTAATGAAGGTCTTCATTACGTGTAGGAAGACAGTTTAAATGTTTTAATTGTTTACTTAGATTGGCTTACCTCAGTTCTTTCCTTATAAGGGTTCTGGGAGAGACCAAATATAGGGGAGCAAAGCACTGTGACTTTTAGAATTTACTAATTGGATTGATATTTATAAGAGTATTTTTAGAAATGAAATGATTGCTATGAAATGAAGTGTTTAATATTATGGGAAGATGTATTGTCTTGTTTGTGTATATGTATTTTGTTTTATCCTGCTTTTTGGGGGCTGTGACTATAAAAGCCGACAGGTTGCCCACATGTGGGTGTGGCTGCTGTGGGAATGCATTTTCCCCCTTTGTATGCAGGATTGTTTGTTTAAATGTTGGTGATTAAACACCTGGTTGGTCTGCACTGCATCTCTCTGCCTCAAGACTCCTCTTTTAAAGCCTGCCGCTAAGGGTCATTCTAACAAGTGGTGTCAGAAGCTGGGGCCGAAGTCGCAAAGTGGAGCTGAGGATGACAAAAGAGAGAGAAAGGAGACTGCTAGCAAAACGTATTCGAAAGCAGCAAACACTTAATACAATAAACAAAATCAGGAACCCCAACACAGGAGAATTAACTAATGATCCAGAAGAAATAGAAGACATTTTCCGAGGATATTATGAGAAGTTATACACAACCTGAAGGCGCTCAAGAGGAGGAAATGAGAACCTTTTTAAACACATTAGATCTACCAACAATTGGCAAAATACAAATGAGTCACTGACAGCAACAATTACAATAGAAAGGTAAAGGAGGCGATAAACTCACTTAAAAACAATAAATCACCAGGCAGTAATGGATACCCGATGGTATAAGATTTTTAAAGAAGAATTAGTCTCAATACTTACAGCATCCTTCAATTGGACACTTAATAATAATAAAATACCTCCTTCATGGAGAGAAGCTATAATTACAGTCATACCAAAACAAGGGAAAGATAATGAACAATGTAGTAGTTATAGACCAATTTCACTGTTGAATGTGGACTATAAGATTTACACATCCATTATCTCTGCTAGATTAAATAAATTAGTAACAGAATTGATAGAGGAGGATCAAACAGGATTTATGAGAGGACGACAAACTCACGATAATATTAGAAAGAGTATTGCATATAGTGGATCAAGCGCAACAGAAAAAACAAAGTACCATATTAGTAAGTGTCGATGCAGAAAAAGCATTCGATTTGGTGAATTGGACTTTTCTATATAGGGTGATAGAACGATTTGGATTCAACAATAAATCGATATTGAGTATAAAAGCATTATACCATCAACCTACAGCGAGAATAAAAATAAATGGAAGTCTGACTGATCAATTTAACATACAAAGATCAACCAGACAAGGGTGCTGCTTGTAATAGTCTTGACAACTACTCTATTTGCACTCTTTGTAGAACCTTTGGCACAGGCAGTTCGTCAAGATGAAAGAATCAAAGGCGTTACAGTAAATGGTGAAGAACATAAAATAGGACTTTTTGTAGATGATATAATAACCTTCCTTGAACAGCCAAATAGATCGCTGCCAGTTTTGATGGACCTGTTTAGAAAGTATGAAAATCTTCAGGATACAAAATTAATGTAAGCAAAACACAGACACTAACACTCAACTATAATCCATCAAAAGAAATACAGGAAGCTTTTCCCATTAAATGGAACACGAAAGAAATAAAATATCTAGGAATCAATATTACTAAAGAACTA